ACCACTCATGAGCCAGAACTGGGGTGCATGCCTCTGATCCCAGTGGTTCTCAAGGCAAGGAGATTGCAAGTTCGAGGCTAGCCTCAGCAACTCAGTGAGTCCTTGTCTCAAAATAAAAATAAAAAGGACTGCGGTGTGGCTCAGTAGTAGAGCACTCTGGGTTCCATCTCCAGTTTGGGGCAGGTGTGGGGTGGGGGTGGTGCAGAATCACTTAAAAATGGGCGAGAGTTCTTTATAAGTTCTTAATTCTAATATGATAGACATCAACCAATCAAAGCCAATAAACACAGGGATAATATGCCATGACTAGCAGAGGAGATCTAACATCTGAAAACTTATCAAATCCTACAGCTTTTAAGTGGGTGCTGCTTAGCTTTGTTTCGCTTCCCACAAGTAAAAACTCACACAGTGAAATTTAAAACCACAAGCAAACTAGGAACAGAAAGAAACTTCCTCCACCTGACAAAGAGCGGCCACCAGGACAAGGGCAAGCACCAGGCAGGAGTGTGTTCCTGCCTGCTCTGCAGCACAGTGGGAGTGTCCTGCCAGGGTCTTGCACACACAGGACGTGACCTTCCACACAGACAATCGGGTGAGCTCTACGAGAAAGCTACTGTAGCTAACAGGAACTCACAAGGGCTGTGGGACCAGAGCAAAATCGGAGGCCTGCTGTGCACCACACCCCCATGGTTAGGCAGCAAGGATGGAGACACAGCACCAAAGCACGATCCACTCAAAACAGGTGGCCAGACACCACCAGACAGAGAACTTCTTCCACTTTTTGGCAGTGGGATTGAAGCCAGAGGTGTACTACCACTGAGCCACATCCCAACCCTTTCTTTATTATTTTGAGACAGGGCCTCGCTAAGTTGCTAAGGCTGGCCTGGGACTTGCGATCCTCCTGCCTCAGCTTCCAGAGTCACTGGGATTACAGGTGTGGGCCACTGTGCCTGGCTCCTTTTTAAAAATATACTGGTTGAAGGATAAAAAAAATAAGACTCTAATCAGGTCTTTTTTTTTGATGGTGGTGGTGCTGGGGAATGAACCCTTGTGCATGCAAGGCCCTCTATTCAGGTCTTGCAAATCATGTATCTGGTAGAGGACTTCTATTCAGAAAATACAAAAAAAAAAAAAAAAAAAAATCCAAAATTCATTAAAGAGAAATTTTCATGAGCAAAAGACATAAACAGGCACATCAGCAAAAATATGACAGGGGCAGGAAAACACAGGACAAGGAGTACCGTCACTATCCATCCAGGAGATGCAGATTTAAACCACAAGAGTCTTCTAAACACCTGTCAGACGTGTACAATTTTAAACACCACATCGAGTGTTGTTTAGGATGTGAAGCACCTGGAAAGCTACACATGTTTGGGGAAATGCCAAATGCTTACAACTACTTTGGAGAACATTTTGGCAACATCTTAAATAATTAAACATACATCAACTAGATGGCCCTAACCATGGACACAGTGCATAACTGCAAAACTATAATAAAACTGGAGAAAAAACATGGGAAGACCTTCATCATCAGGGCTTCAGGCACTCTGGGGAGCAGGAACTATGTGCTATGACACAGCAAGTGCCCGTCTAGGACTCTGCTCCTAAAAACCTCACTAGCACACCCTGTGGCCAGAAGAGCTCTCCTCCATCAATCCTGCCTCCATGGGCCCTGAAAGCAGGAGCCCAGAGTCCTGCTGTGGCAACTCTGCAATTGTCAGGCAATACTAAATACTCCCTCTGCCTCACCCAGTTCAGAACGTTCTATAGCAGTAAAGGGAGGGCCCTCCAAAAGTGGTGTCTGGGAGGCAGATGGGTACGGAGCTAGGCCTGCAACCAAGAGGCCCTGGGAGCTCGGTGGAATGTGCCCTCCTGTGCCTCAGGCCAGAGCACAGCCCCAAGAGAACACAGGCTCTGGAGCAAGAAACAGAGATCCTGTGACTGATGGGAACTGCATGTCATATCTAAACCAACACAAGAGCTAGTGACACTTAAATCCATGACAGCCATGTGGCATGGCTTTCATTTTCTACCTCAATCCACTTCACTAGCCACATGTGCACAGAGAGCCGGAGTCGGCCCCGCAGTGCGACCTTGCCTCCGAACTAGTGACCAGCTTCAGAAGCAGCAGCAGCACACAGAGTATGAACACAAAGAGTGCACCTAGCACATGCTCGGACTGGGCACCTCTAGCATGGCTGATACTCCCAGTAATCGTCTTATTTTTTAAAAATGAAGAATAAGAATAAAATTTGAAAAGATTAGAAAACTATCTGGCTCCATAGTTCTGTCCAACAACCCTTTCACACGCCAGGTCCAAATGTGTAAAAGCTATGAAAACTGAGTGACAGCAAAACATGGTCTATCATAAACTCATATGGGACAAAACCTGACATGAATGGACAGAGCCACTTACAGACTTTAACCCATATTGAGAATATTTCTTCATTTAACTATAAAAATATCAAGGTATTTAACTACAGAATACTTTTCCTGCCCCTTTAGGAATATCTCATGAAATATAGGCCATACACCATATTATCTTTCCAAAAGACTTTTGAAATTGCAAACTTTTGAAGTTGCAAACTCAAGGGTCTCCAATGGTGGACCTTCCTCACATTCATAGAGCCTGAATCCTAGCAGCCTATGGTGTCTGGTTACTGTCCAAGAAACATATTTAAATACATCTACATAAAATACTAAAGATTTTTCCCTGTTTCAGTTCAGAAAGAAGCTTCAAACAACCCAGTGAATCCAAAAGGAAGAAATCTATGACTGATAGCTGCTCTGCTTATTTTTATCTCTCAGCTGCCCAGAGAGCAAAGGGAAACCAGCTGTCTACACAGCCACAGTGGCTACCCACACTTCCTGGTTCTTTATCCTGGGTGCTTTGTGACCTACATAAACTTCCTGCTTTGCATGAACCTCCTTCTCTTACCAACCAGGACTACTTTCATCTCAAATGCCCTCCTAGCCCAGGTCACCCCTAGCCCAGGAGGGTACACCCTGATCCCCCCACCCTGCTGCTGTCTTCTGCCAATCCCTTTCCAGAGGTCTCCCCAGCTGCATGTACAACTTCAATGCTGTACTGCCTGCTCCATATGGCCTTGTTCTTTAGCCATTTGAGCATGCATCTCATTTCACATTCTACAGGGCCTAAACCAGGTCCTGTCCAGTATGAATTTCCTGAAAAATGAAGATAACTGCCTGACATTTTTACAGTAAATAAACTAAATTGAGCAAGCTTTTGTTACTGTAACAGATATAAGGGAACATCACACTTCAGAACTTTAGTGGGGGCACTGCCCCCATCTCTAAAAGAAGCATCAGAAGTTTCTCCCTAAATCACACCCAAAAATCTGTTTACGGACATGCTGGGGAAAAGCATGTGATGGTGCTACAACCAGAAAATCCCCTCAGGCCTTCTAGAATGAAAACATCCAAATACTCGGCCAGTTCTCAGCCCCCAATAGAGCACAAATGACCCCAAAGGGCTCAGAAGGTTGACCCTCCAACCCTGAGAGTTCAGACTTGGTCAGGGCCCACTCCTCCCGCCTCAAATCAATGCAACAGAACACGACTGTGTTTAGCCCATGAATTTCAAAGCTGGTGAGAACTTATGCGTCCCTGGACACCACTGGATAAAAAGTAAGGAAGACCCAGAAGAGACATTCCAATCCTGTGTGAGGAAGGAAGAGGACATTCAGAAAGCTACAAATAAAACCAACAATAGATGACTTCAAGACATAAATGATGGCCATATCCATCCAGCAAAGTCCTGTATAGTCCATGGATAATAGCTCTGCTTCCTGTGACTTACACAGGCACCACAAAAGATGTTCAAGGGTGAGACACACTGACTTCAAGAGAGAAACAGACTAGGGCATCAGGCACTGTCTGCCCTCCCCAAATAGGACAGGACTGCCACTGCTTAAATGCTGTGTGCAACCAGAGGAACTTCTGGGAACTCAGGAAAACCAGTCCCCAATACATAGCAGTCCTGGTGTGATGCAAACAGCTATGGCTTATGCCCCCCAGTAATGCTGCTCACCTCCTGACTCTAGTGTGTAGGGTCCTCCTCTCCCTCCCCAACAACTGTTAGAGCTTCAGTCCCAAATATAGGAGGTTCCTCTATATCTATTATCCTCCAGCCTGACCCTAGCCTGAGTCTACCCCTCAACAAAGAAGTTGGGACCCAGACCCCCCAGCAGTGACCCTCCAGGCCTGCCCTTACCCACGCGCTCAGTGGTAACCCCAAGGCCTCACCTGACCCACGATCTCAGTGGTGACCCTCCAGCCTTGCCCTGATCCACGCCCCCAGGGGTGACCACCCCAGACCTGGCCTGACCTACGCCCCCAGCAGTGACTCTCCAGGCCTGGCCTGACCCACGTCCTCAGTGGTGACCCTCCAGCCCTGCCCAGACTCACACCCCCAGTGGTGACCCTCCCGGACTGTCCTGACCCACGTCCCCAATGGTGACCCTCCCGCTGACCCTGTCGCCGGCAGCGTGACTACCCCAGGGCCCAGCTCTGGCCTCACCCTCGGCCAGGACCCGCCGCACCCGCAGGCGCAGCTCGCCCAGCTCCACCGTCTGCCCCACGAAGTCGCTCTGGTCGCGGCCGGCAGCTCCGCCCAGGGAGCCCGGGCCCGCCAGGAAGTCGAGCGCGGACTGCAGCAGCGACATGGCGGCAGCCGCTCAGCGGCAGCGGGAGCCGGGCTGGGGCTCAGGCTGCACTCCGCCTGGTCAGCGGCCGCCGAAGCACAGCCCCGCCATCTTCCGCCCGCGCCGTGACGTCAATGCGCAAGCACGTCGAGCCATGGAGCCACGCCCCCGACCCTTCGCGGAGGGCCGGAAGGACGCGTGCTTCACTTCCGTCGCGCCGGCGGGCGCACAAGCTCTAGGCGTGGGCCCGCGACAGACTTCCGGCGGGGCTCGCGGGCAGTTCACACCTGAGAGAAGGAGGGCCACGGCGGCCCAGCCCAGGTCGTCACCTGCCGCGCGCCCCGCAGGCCAGGCAGCCGGTCCCTCCGCGAGGCCTTGTCTCAGTGGCGGGGCGGAACGGCGCGGGCGTTGGGCGCGAGTTTGGCGGCCGCTCCGCCGGACTGCGCCTCCCAGGGAAGGCCGGGCCAGCGGAAGGTCCCGGTGCCGCCCTCGAGAGGACGGGGCCGGCGGCCGCACACGCGCGTTCCTTTCCTTGGGCCGCACGGTTTTGGGGGAAATATGAGTTAGTGGCTACCGTTGAGAGACTGAGCTCAAGGACGGGGTTTCCCAGCTTGCGTGGGAAAGCCTGACCTGGCGGCGTCGGGCCGCAGTCCCGCGTTTTCGCAGCCCCTGGAGCTGCCGCCTTCAGGTACGACGCGGCGTGCGCCTGCCGGGCCAGCCCAGGCCCTGCGAGCCGCGGCCGTGCGTAGAGAGCGGTTCTCACTCGCAGAAGAGGGCCCTGAATCGGCGCCGTAACCCGCACCCGGAGTGCAGTCTGTAAAGAGTGCCTTTGAGACCGACTGCTGTCTAAGTAGAACCGGGGATGAAGGGTGCACGTGGGACCCAGCAACAGCGGGTCTCGGGCGACCTCCCCGAGAGCAGTGCCATCCGAGTGGTGGGCGGGAGCTGCGCCTCCCCTAGATGCCCAGGAAAAAAGCCGATGAGGTAGGGAAGGTTCGTGGAGGTAGCTCAGGAAGTTGTGAGGAAGAGTGTGGGACTAGAAGGGCAGTGTGGTGTTGGGGTCCCAAGACGGGAGACTAAATGAACAGCCTGAAGCCGGGAGAAGGGAGCCAGCAGAGAGAAGAGGGGACTAATGGAGGAAAGTCAGTGACTCCGTGGCATGGGTGAGAGTATTTGTTTTGGACATAGGAAAAGCACTCTCCATGTGAAAAACTCTGCAAAAGGAGGGAAGGAGGAAAAGTGGCTTGCACTTGTAGGCAACTGTGTGTTTTATTAGCATGATGCTGCTGAAGGAATTTTCTGGTAGCTTCCCTTTGATTTGTAAACAAGGAATAGAAATCATCTATGGGAGGTAAAGAGAGACTGGAATCTTAGGGCTTAAGCAACGTGGACGAGACCTAAAAGCCATTGTGGTGACACCCCAGGAATAACTCACTAGAGAGTGTGGCAGAGTTTGAGGCCAAGTACTCAAACAGGCAAGACCTAGGACCAAGTAGAGGTATCTAAATCAGGTAATTGCTGAGCATACTGGTAAATGCCTGTAATCCCAGCAACCTGGGAGACTGAAGCAGAGGGATCACAAGTTTGAGACATCAGTAACTTGTCTGGTTTTTTGTTTTTTGAGACACTGTCTCAAAATAAAAAGGGCTGGGAATGTAGCTCAGTGGTGGTACAACGCTGGGTTCAATCCCAGGACTGACAAATAAATAAATCAGGTAATCAGGAAACGAAAATCTATTGCAACTCTCTCGTAAGTATTTATTTATTTATTTTTAATTTTCTTTTTGTAGTTGTAGATGGACAGAATGCCCTTATTTTATTTGTGTATTTTTATGTGGTGCTGAGGATCAAACCCAGTGCCTCATACGTGCTAGGCAAGCACTCTACCACTGAGCTACAGCCCCAGCCCTTTCGTAAGTATTTATAAAGCCACGCTTCTTGGCATTGCAGTAGATGCCATGCTAACACTGTCTTGACCCAAATCTGCCTCCACATTTTTCTGAATTTGACAGTGGGTGTTCACTTGTAGCTATCTCACTTCACATACATGTCTAAAACTAAGTCCATGGTCTTGATCCCCCAATTATAGCAAAAGATATCACCACAAGTAAGAGAATTGTTTTGTGATGATCAAGGGGTGAATTCACTAAAAAGATGTAACAATCCTAAACATATATGTGCCTAATAGCAAAGCTCTAAAATATCTGAACCAAAAACTCAGAACTACAAGAAGAGAGGCCAATCACAATTGTAGTGGGAGGTTGATGTAGTTGGAGAGTATTTTTTCCTCAATAAATGACAAGAGGGGCTGGGGCTGTAGCTCAGTGGTAGCGTGCTCACCTAGCATGCATGAGGCACTGGGTTCGAGCCTCACCACCACATAAATGTAAAATAAGGATACTGTGTCCATCTAAATCTTAAGAATAAACATTTTAAAAAGTAAATAGAAATAAATGACAGGTACCCAGAAAATCACTAATGATACTGTAGACTTGAACTACCAAGCAGCTTGAGCTAATTAATATAAACATTTATAAAATGTCCCTACAATAATATAAATTGGTGTCTGACTATTTTTTAAAAATACACTGTTGAAATTAAAAGACAGCTCAGACTTGGAGAAAATATTTGCAAATTGCCTATGTGGTAATAGACTTGTATATGAAATACATGTAGAGGAAAGTGAGTTCTATATGTCTTCAGGGTAGTCTATTTGTCTTCTGTCCAGTCTTGGGATTGGGTACACAAGGCTCTGGTGTAGTCCTGGTTTCTTCAGGTACACCTCCCAGTTTGAGCCTCATGAGGCGGCCTTCTCAAACTCCTTGCAATTTGCTGCATGCCAGGCTCTCCCTGTTACACAGAGATAGTTCTTTCTGGCTTTTCATTAATTCTCACAGTGATATTTAAGGATTAAAAGAGACGTCAAGTATGAACTACTTGGGACAATGCTTGATATTTAAGATATGCTTAATAAAGGCCTCTTACTGTTCTTATGTCCCTTGTTGGAAGTGTCTCCACACTCAGCTCTAGCATCTCCCATACTGAGGACTCCTGACAGTCTCTGCAAGAAACCTCTTGCTTTCCCACTGCGGCATCTGTATCTCTAGTCCTGTCTTTTCTTCATTGGCATGTGTCATAAAAACTTGCATGCAAATGTGTAGATGACATGGTTTGAGCACTTAAAGACTAGGCATTAGGTTGTGTTTTTTTTAACTGGTGCAGTTCATAAAACTGTTTTAACCACTTGTAAGCACACAACCCAGAGACAGGAACCCCTTCACTCCTCCACTCCTCCGTGCAGCTTCTCCACCCATCGCCAGGCTTTTCCTCTTGCAAAGCCGAAACTCCCTGTTATGCACCAACTCACCCATTCCACTGAGCCCCTGGTGCCCACTGCTTTACTTCCTGTTCCTATGGGTTTGACTGCTCTGGGGTGTCCCATGCAAGTGGAGCCATACAGTATTTGTCTTGTGCAACTGGCTCGTTCCACATTGGAGTGTCGTCCCAGTCCTTCCATGTGATAGCATGTGTCAGGACTTTGTGATGCTCCATTCAGAAACCAAGATGGAGGCTCCGGTGCCTTCTGCCTCTGGGCTATTGTGAACAGCCCTGGGATGAGCTTGGGTGCATGGGCATCTCTGTAAGTCCCTGCTTTTGACTCTTGGATGTGTACCAGAGAAGGAGTTGCCGGACCTGGTGGTGGGCTGTTCTTGGTTTTGTGAGCCAGGCAGCTGCACCACTTTGTGCTCTACCAGCAGGGCGCAGGTTCCAGTTTCCTCTGTCTTTGCCAACACTTCCTTGTTTTGTTTCATTGCCAGCCTGGAGGGTTGCTGTCTCATCGGGGTCTAATTGTAACAGTTCTTTAAATATTTTAGATATTATACCTTTCTCAGATAGTGGTTTGCAAATGTTTTCTCCCATTCTGGGAATTGTTTTTATTAATTTTGTCCTGTGGTGCACAGAGGTTTAAAATTGAACGGTTGTGGCAACCTCTTCAAAAGTGAGCTTGGATAGGCTTGGTGGCAAGCACCTATAATCCCTGTGGCTCGGAAGGCTGAGGCAGGAGGACCACAGGTTCAAAGTCAGCCTCAGCAACTTAGTGAAGCCCTAAGCAACTTAGCAAGACCCTGCCTCTAAGTAAAACAAAAAAGAGAGGGCTAGAGAGGGGGCTCAGTGTTAAGCACCCCTAAGTTCAATCTCTGGTACAAAAAAAAAAAATGAGATTGGTTTGACCATAATATTTACTTCTGAACCCCATGCCATTGGGCTACATCTTTAGGCCACAACTGGGAGCAACTCCACTGTGTGGAGTCCATAGTGCTCGGTCACAGAGTAAGTAGTTATGACACAGCAGGAAAAGAGCTCAGTGCCTCCCCCAGCCATGTGCCACGGCATTTGGGAAAGGCAAAGCTGCAGTGACAGAGCTGCCAAGCTTGCCGTGTGGGAGAGTTCCATGAGGACTGGGAGCGGGGACCAGGGTTCCAATTGGGACTGGTCACTTACCCACGTCCATTTCTCAGAAGCTCAGAACTGCATCCCAGAAGAGTGGCTTGGACCATACGTTGGATAGGAGTGAAGGGGAGGTGGTCCAGAGCCGCCTCCCGCTCTCCTTCTGTCCTGGCACCGCAGTCCATGTGTTCCTGAGGGTTCTGCCTTACATGTTGACACCCTCGTCAGAAGGTCACTGCGTAATGCTGTCTGCATCTTTTTAATTGTAGTTGGACACAATACCTTTATTTTTATTTATTTATTTTTATGTGGTGTCAAGGATTGAACCCAGTGCCTCATAAGTGCTAGGTGAACGCTCTGCTGCTGAGTTACAACCCCAGCCCCTGCTGTCTGCACTTGCAGCTGATGTTTTTAGTTCTGTGTCTCTAGATCTGCCTACTTGCTCATACTTTGTTTAATGGCTTAATAATTAATTGTGTTTACTTTTTTTCCCTCAGTGCTGGGGATGGAACCCAGGGCCTCACGTGCTAGACAAGTGCCCCACCATGAGTGACACCCTGGCCTGTGTTTCACATATATTGTTAATGGAGGCTTGCTTGGTGTGGACCTCAGGCCTCTCTGGAAACTGAGCTCCCCTGCAGGCATGCTTCTTCAGCTGAGGGCTGTGGCTCTGCTAATGTCCCCAGGATGCCAGATGTCTCCTACAACCTCACTAGCTCTTCTGACTGACAGCATACCACTTTCTGGCTGCCAGGCAGGCCCTCTAACACTAAGCTCCACCCAGCCCTGACTACATGTTTATCCAGTTTGGTTTCCTCACTGGAAACTGCCAGTCAGCCTCCTTTGTTCATCTTGGGGTGGGCTTCTGATTGTGTCTGGTGTCAGTTTCCTTGTTTGAGCAGCATGTGGTGGTTCCCCTTACCTCTTGTCTTTGGCAGTCTGTCTACTGATGCTCTGGCTAAGGTGAGCAGCATCCTCTGCTGGGCTTTGGGAGGTACTGGGAGTTGAAGGTAGGGGTACTCTACCACTGAGCTATATCCTCAGCCCTTTCTATTTTTTAATTTTGCTTATTTTTTTTTTCTGTGCCTTAGAAAATGGGCCCTGAAGCAAACCCTTCATCCTTCATCAACATTGATCTTCTCCACCCTCTGGATCTGGGTAGTTCCTGGGCGGGGTTGGCTCTTTCTCCAGGACCTTGGGCATCAGCCTCCCTCTCTCTGAGGAACTGATCTCCAGGCACATTTTGGCTCCTGGCTGTTGCCAGACCTACTCCTCTCCCTGAATCCCAGCTTCAGCCTCCTTGCCACATTCCCATTCCCTGTCACCCAGCTGTGGTGGGGGCCCTGGGTCCAGTGTGGAGTCCACAGGGCTCCGCGCTGTGCTGCCCAGACGCCCACCAGCTCTGCTCCAGGATATGAGCACACTCTGTCTGGAGTCACCCTTGTCTTCCAGAGCCTACTCCTGACGTTGACAGTGTCCTGGGAGCTCTGAACCAAGGCGGTGTGCCATGGGGGCATTTGTTGGGTGTGCACATTGGTCCTGATGCTGTGATCTCGGGCCCCAAGGGCACCCACTCCTTTTTCTTGTTTAGGACCAAAACAGCTCATAGGATAGAGTCTGCTGTTGGGTTCAGGCATTCTAGGCCCTTCCCTGGTGATGAGGGTGCTAAGCACCCACCTGTGTTGTGTGGGCCTTCCCTTCCTGCCTGCTCCTCTAGGGGAAGCAGGCACAGCATGTCCCTCACCCCAGTCACCAAGCTTAAGCTTAGTGATGGAGTCTCAGGCTGAAGCTTAGCCTGGAGGGTCTTCCCCACTCTCCACACCCAGCTTCTATTCCTGTGCCCCCTGGCTAAAGCCTGTAAGGCAGCCCCTGGGAGCAACCCACTGGCATGCTCAGAGCTGTGCTTCCTTCTAGGCTTTTGTGGCCACTGGGCAGTGGCCCCATCATGTCTGGGCCCCAGACTCCTGAACACACACTGGATGTCCACGGTGACTCATCCCTATGCAGGAAGGATGAGGACATCAGGGAAGGGACCCAGAGCTCCCACCGCATGCTGGGTTTCAGTGACGCACTACTGTCCATCATCGCCACAGTCATGGTAAGTGTGGAGCCCACTTCAGGCAGGTGGAGGCACCCATCCCTGGCCCTGCTGCCAGCCCAAGAAACATCTGGTTTCTTTTTGTCTTTGTTCTTCAGATCCTTCCTGTGACCCACACGGAGATCTCCCCAGAGCAGGTACCAGGAGCATGCTGTGTAGTGCAGGGGGACAACCCACTTGGTCTGGGGGCGTTGGGCAACAGGGTGGGCACCTGCTTCCTCCTGGTAGGGTCACTGTCTGCATAAGTTGGGGCGGTTGGGGTTGGGCCCAGGCTTCTGCAGTGAAGACCTGTCTCAGCCTGAATGGAGAAGGAAGTGTCCTGGTGGGAGGGAGCTCCCCAGATCCAGAGATCAGGCTGCCTCAGCAGAGGCACATCCACCTGGCATGTGCACCAGGCCCATCTGGGGGTGAGTGGGGAAAGGGTGTAAAAGCTTTTCCGGTTAGAGCCAGCTTTACTGGACTATTCCTGACTAAAGAGAGCAACATGTGACTGATCACAGCAGAACAGTTTGGAAGACATTTGGAAGGCCTGTGGGAGCATGCATGCACCTTGTCTCCTATCTGCCCGTGTGACAGGGTGGTCACAATGCCAGACTTGTTTGGGGTGCTGTGAGGCGCAGAGGGATGTGCTGGCCCAGCAAGGCTGACGTCCAGCCGCCTACAGGCTGAACTGGATGACCTGGGAAGCCCCACAGCTACTTGGATTTGGTTTTTGCACTGTGAAGAAATGATGAAGCACTTTCCATAGAGTTGTAGTAGAAATGTGCGTCCAGCCTGACACAGCTCTCTGGAGGAGATCCTAGCATTGATTGCACCAGGTGCCTGGCAGTCCCAGTGGAAAGTGCCCACCAGCAGCTGTTCAGAAAAGCCATGCCCCACAGGGTCAGTGGTAGTTCTGAGGCCTACTATGGGAAGCCCATGGTTTGGCTCCAGCCAGTATGTGCTGAGGTGTTTCCTTCACGAGAGGCCCAGATCAGCATCCTGTGAGACCACAGGGGCAGCTTCCCAAGCAGCAAGAAAACTCAGCTGTTCAGGCCCACTCTGACCCCACCGCCGCTGGGCCACTTGTGTTCTCTGCATGGAAACTGGGACTTCTTGATGCTGAGTCTTTCTGTTTCCTCGCTGGGTCTCAGAAAGCTCCTAAGAGTCCACAGGTGCAGGCAGAAACACTCTGGGAAGGAGAGAAAGGTGCTGGACCAGCGATCCTCCCTGACACTGGGCTTCCTGGACTGCTCATGTGTTATCATGAAGACCGTCAACTTTGAACACTGCGATTCAGAAGCACAGTGCACTTAGGGAAGGGTACCTTCGGAGATGATACCCAGAGCCCAGGAGACAGTGGGCAACCTGCGCCTGCCAGGGTCTTGAGCCAACACTGACAGCCTTTGAGAGGTCATCAGTGACCTTGTGAAAGGGCTGCAGGGCTCATTGGACCCTTTGCCCCCTACCTTTCCGCCATGAGATGGGGAGCCCGCTGTCCAAGGCACTCCTGCAACTCTGAACCATGAGGCCTGTATTGTGGGCTTTCTAAACCCCAGCATGACAGCTGGAGGCTCACCCTAAGGGGAGTGGAGGGTCATGGGAGGGGGTGTGGCCCCCAGCAGGCAGAGCCTGGGTGCTCCAAGAGGTCTCACCGCACTCCAGTGAGGCCATGCCCATGCGTCGAAGGCTACCTGGGTTACCTATGACTGTCCCTAATGGCAGTGCTCTTTTGTTCTAGCAATTTGACAAAAGTATACAGAGACTTCTAGCAACCAGGATTGCTGTCTACCTGATGACATTTCTAATTGTGACTGTGGCCTGGGCCGCACATACCAGGTAGGGACCGGGCTTCTTTGAGGTCAGGTCCCCTTTTGACTCACTTAGGCAGTGAGCCACACCATTCTCAAGGTATATGTGGGCCCCTCCCATCATCATGGGTGAGAGTGCTGGGGTGGATAGGTCACCCCTTTCTCCATCATCCCCAGTTCTTTCTCTGAACCTCCTGCCTGGGTTCCCACACACATGCTCCAAGGCAAGTCTATTTCCGCAAACATATAGCACTGCCCACTGGTAGTCCAGACACTGGGTGTGGGTGCCCAAGGTGTCCTGCTTGACCCCAGAACCAGGATGGAGCCTGGCAGGAGGGAGCAAGCTGCCAACCCCTCCAGCCCCTGTTCCAAGCCCACAGGTAGTTCTCCAGGGCCTGAGCTTTATCTTGGGGAGGAAAAGGCCCTGATCCATGGGTTACTGCCCAACCTACAGGGCCCCCAACCACTGGCAGGGGAGCAGGGACAGGAGGCACCCAGAGGTGGAGCTGGAAGTAGATGCTTCCATCCTAGGTTACAGACCAGCCTATGGAAGGGAAGCACTTGCCAGGAAGGCTGGGGTGCAGGAAAATGCACCCATTCCATCAGGTGTTGGCACTGGGCCAGATACCTCTGGCGTTGTTTATTGTATACTGCCCTCAGTAGACAACCACTTTCGGAGATGTAGCATGGACCTCGGAGTCCAAGCTCCAGGGGTGGGAGGTCTCTTCTCCTCAGCCTCCCTGGTGTACCGAGTGCTCAGGAGGCTCTCAGGGGATGTTGCAAAGTATGTGGGCTGTGAGCTCTGCCAGGGGCTGTACCCACTATGGAGGACATTTCCTGAGTGGGGTTCAGGGGCCCCATGAGGGGCTTCCAGATCTGCTGTGTGCATCTGCCTGAGCATGGTCTTCTGCACACCTGGTTGCAGTGCTCAGCAGGTCACCAGAAGAGCTTCCCAACTCAAGGGGGCCATAGTCCTTGCTATTTAGCTTTTCAGCAAATGCTGCAGCACCAGGTTGGCCCTGTGTCCCTGTCCCTAGGCTCGCTGCCCAGCCCAGGAGAAGGCATGGTTCACAGTGGACAGGGGACATGGTACTTGGGTACCCTAAGCTGGCGTCAAGCTCTGACAGGGAAACCTGGGGCATGGACCAGGTGGGCTGGGGCCTCAGAAACAAGACCCTTGGCCAATTGTGCTCACTCATGTTGCCTGTGATGAAAGCTGTCTTTTTTGCTGTTGCTGTTTTGGTACCGGGGATTGCACTCAAGGAGACCTACCCACTGAGCCACACCCCCAGCCCTATTTTGATTTTTATTTAGAGACAAGGTCTCACTGAGTTGCTTAGCCCCACACTTTTGCTGAGGCTGGCTTTGAACTCGTGATCCTCCTGCCTCAATCTCCCTAGCCGCTGGGATTAATTTTTTTGTTTGTGTCAAATAGTCTCAGGACAAAGCAATTTCTCTATTAAATAGGCAGCTCCACAGGTTTAGGGTTTGAAACCCCTGAAAACAATGGGAAAGAAGGATTTCCTCTCTTCGAAATGGATTTTGTGCACAAGGCCTGAAGAGTGAATTCACTGCATGATGGAACTTTATGTACACATATCCAGAGCCGGTTTTTCAGCCTTCTGGCAGAAGCTGCACAACATTTCAAGAGAGCTTCAGCTGGGGCAAGCCACATGTGCCTCTTGCACCTCGAACAGGCAGGTCACATTCAGAGGCTCCCCTCCCAGCAAGGCCTCCCCTGAAACCCAACCCAAGAGCCCCCCTAGCCCTCCAGATCCCAGGTTCCACAGGATGAGCCTGATGCAAAGACACACTTGGAAAAGACTCCTCCAGAGCCACCCATTGTACACGTTTGGCTCTTACTCTTCAAAGCAATATGCTTTAAATAGCAAAACAACAGGAAGAATATGTGAGAATGAAGAGGGTGATTTCCAGGGAATTTATGATTTTGAATTTTCTTTCATACACTGGGTAGGATTTTACATTTAATCCTAAATGACATCTTTTAGCTGGGTGTGGTGGCACATGCCTATAATCCCAGCAACTCAGGAGCCTGAGGCAGGAGGATCGTGAGTTCAAGGCCAACCTGGGAAATTTGGTGAGACCCTGTCTTAAAAATTAAATAAGACTGAGGATGTAGTTCAGTGGTTAAACATCTCTGGGTTCAACCCCTGGTTACCTCCCCACCCCCAAAATCATCTTTTAATGATATTTAAACTAGAAAATACCGGAGCAAATGTGTGTGTGTGTAATTTTATTGGAACCACATTTGATGAGTGCCCCATCTTCTCCTGTTCTTTGTAGATTATTTCAGGTTGTTGGGAAAATAGACGATACACTTGCCTTGCTCAACCTGGTGAGTTTTTTGTTTTTGGGTTTTTTTTTGTTGGTGGTGGTGGTGTTTTTTTATCCTTTTGGGAAATGATTTTGGTTTATAATTTAACCCTCCCAAGAGGACTGAGAGTGTATAGCTGGCTGCTTCTCTCTTATCCTCTGGTACCTCGGAACCTGAACTCTGTCCACACCTGGAAGCTCCTTGGACATCCCTTGCACCACAGGGGGCTGCACCCTTCCCCAGCCCACATAGAGCTGGGGGTGCTAGGCCTGCCTGTGGAGAGGGCTGAGATGAGCCAGGAAGGCACAGGCTTCTCAGGTCTGACACTTGCTGGCCCACCGTCCTGTCTTGGGAGGGGCCTAAGCTGGCCTCTTCTGGAGTGGTGAGGGGGCAACTAGCACCATCCAGGCTGCATCGATGTGACCTCCCTCCCTCCTCTCCAGGCCTGCATGATGACCATCACCCTTCTGCCATACACAGTAAGTAACAGCCTGCTCCCCAGACATGCCCAAGACGTGCTGAGCTCCACCTGGGTTTGACTGTCCTTGGAAATGCAGACCAGCAGATGATTCTGGGCCTTGGGGGCTGCATAGAGGAGAGAACTTCCAGGGGGAGTCTGGCTGGGGGCCTGGGGCTCTGAAGGCAGGGCCCCCACTCTGTCGTGGCCTTCCTCCACTCAGAGTCTCCACAGACCCAAAAAGCTCTCATACTCAGTGCTGACCTGGCCTGCTGGTCTGTATGTGCTGGGCCAGAGAATTGGGATCTGGGGGACTTCAAAGGCCTGTAGCAGTGGATGGAATTGCTCCCGTGGGGGCTGCGGACAGATCTGCCACACCCTATATGTCTCCTCCCATGATAGTCCTCCTCAGCACAGAGCAGGGAGACCAGGAGGCTCATTGTGTCCCAGCTCCTAGACTAATGAACTTCTGCATTACTCCTTGTTTTGGACAGTTTTCCTTAATGGTGACGTTCCCTGATGTGCCACTGGGCATCTTCCTGTTTTGTGTGTGTGTGATCGCCATTGGAGTTGTGCAGGTAAGGCATCAGGAGCCTGCAGGGATGTATGTGAAAGAGACAAAGAGATGGTCATGGGGGCAAGCAGGCGAGGCGCCAGTATCCTGACCCCATGTCCCCAGGAGCTCAGGTCCTGCCGTGGATACTTGGGGTGTGCATGCCTGAGACCCCTGTCCTTGCTGAGCCTAAGAAGGGCCTCACAGTTGCATCAGGTGCAGGGCCAGGACTCCCATCCCTGGTGTTTCCCTAGAGCACTCCAGTGCGAGCCTGCCTTAGGTCCCCTCCCCCGAGCCCCTGCAAGAAGCCAGCTTGCCTGGCCATGCCCCTCTGCTCATAGAGGGTGCCCTGTGGCCTGCCTCTCCCACAGGCACTGATTGTGGGGTATGCTTTCCACTTCCCACACCTGCTGAGCCCGCAGATCCGGTGCTCCGCCCACAGGGCCCTGTCCCGAAGGCACATCCTGCACCTTGTCCTCCGTGGTCCAGTGCTGTGCTTTCTTGCGGCCATCTTCTCCCTCTTCTTCTTCCCTGTGGTGAGTGTTGGGGCACCCCAGGGAGGGCACAGCCTGGGCACTGAGATGCTTTTTTTCAGCCAGCAGCTAATTCTAACAGGAGTAAGAGTGGTGGTCTGGCAGTGCGCTGTTCACACAGGACCAAGAGCTGCAGAACAAGCTGCTCCAGAGTTGGCCTAGGAAGCTCACTGTGGCTCCGGGTCTGCTTGAGCGTTGTTGAAGTACATGGAGTTTTTAATCCAAATTATCCTAAGAGGGCTGGGGATGTGGCTCAAGCAGTAGCGCGCTCGCCTGTCATGCGTGCGGCCCGGGTTCGATCCTCAGCACCACATAACAAAGATGTTGTGTCCACCGAGAACTAAAAAAATAAATAAATATTAAAAAAAAAAAAAAAAAAAACCAAATTATCCTAAGAATTATGAACAAAATAACTGACATTTTCATAAACATTTAATAAGCATTCAAGAGGATTCCAAGTTTAAAACAGGCTAAGGTGAACTTGGTGGTGCATGCCTATAATAGAGACTCAGGAGGCTGAGGAAGAAGACTTACAAATTCTGGCCTGCCTCAGCAACTTATAAGATCCTGTCTCAAAAAATAAAAAGTCCTGAGGATGTGACTTAGTGGTAGAGCCCCTTTCATTCAATTCTGGGTTAAAAAGTAAATAGGCTGGTAAGGGCCTGTGGCAGCAGGCAAGCAGGGTCCAACCCTCTGGCCAAGGCAGAGCAGAATCATCTGGAGAGCACCAGGCAGGTAGGCCTTGGTGGGGCCTCAGGTGAGGAAGCAAAGAAGAAAGGTGAGCATTATGGTGTGAGGCCCTGGGCCTGTGGCCGGCCGTATGACTTGGTCCCTTTCATGAAACAGGAGGGAGGCGGGGCAATGGTCTTGAGTGGGGAAGCCAGGGGTAGGCAGCAAGACAGGAGTGAGGGGCAGCAGTTGGAGGCGAGTCTTAGCTTCAGAGGTGGGACAGTCCCCTTCTAGGGGTACACCCAGGGTGGTCCATGTGGCATGAATGTCTCATGAAGGCAGGGCATAGGCATTGGCGGAACAGGAGACTACATGAGGTTTCTGGATCTCTCCTTGCTGCATTCTGATCAGAATTCTTTCTTGTTATCCAAAAATAGTATACTGAGGGGCTGAGCCTGAGGTTGCTCACTATGGCCCCTTGGGCTGTCCCACTCTTGGCTGTCGTGGATGGTGCTGCCTTGAGCACAGCCTCTTCCAGCCTCTGCTCTCAATTCTGTGCACATGCCCAGAAGGGGCCCTGCTGTACTGCGCAGTCCCCTTCTCCCCCTGGAGCCGCTGGGCATGTTTCCTGAGAACAGTGGCCTTGAGGCTCTCTGGCTTACTGGTGTGTGCATGTTGCTTCTGCCCCTCTCACAGCTGGGCGCTTGTCTTTTGTTGTGTTGTAGCAGTTCTTTGTGTGTTCTGGACACAACTCTTGGCAGGTGTATGGCTGCTGGGCGCTTTCTACCTTCCATGGCTATCCTTTACTTCATCTCCATAAAGGACAGTTCCTTGGATTTTTCCTTGTTACACATGATTTTTCAAGGATGGTAGAACTCCTGGGTGGCTGGGCTCCAGGAGGTATATGGCCCTGCCCTGGGGAGGCAGGCCCTGACTGTCGTGTCCCCACAGTCATACCTGCTGATGGTGACCGTCATCTTCCTGCCCTACATCAGCAAGGCCACCAGTTGGTGCAAAGACAGGCTTGTGGGTAGGTGTCAGTGGCAGTCCTGCACTGAGGCCAAGGGAGGCACCACAGGGGTCGGGCTGTTCATGAAGACTGCCATGTTGGGGCAAGGCACACACATGTGGTGACCCTCCCACCCCTCAGCAGCTCCACACCAGCTCCTCTCCTGGGCTATACATTCCCAGTCCCTAAGGGAAGTGGGCAGGGATAACCACACTGGCCCCACAGCCCATGGGCTGAGCCAGCTCCTCCCTCCTATGCCTGCAGGTCACAGGGACCCCCCGGCCCACAATGCAGAGGTCTTCAGCTTCGACCTGCATGAGCCCCTCAGTAAGGAACGGGTGGAAGCCTTCAGTGACGGTGTCTACGCCATTGTGGCCACGCTCCTCATCCTGGACATCTGGTGAGGACCCAAGTGGGGGCAGCCCTGTCTCATCTTCAGGTGGCGGTGTGACTTGAGTCCCTGGCATCTTGTCCTGGCCACACCAGAAAGGCTCAGCTTCACCTTCCTATGGGTGCAGAGCTCCCTGGGAGGGTTTCCCCAGGAACAAGAAGGCTCCTCAGGCCTTGGCCCCCCCTAGGTCCCTTCAGGCATGTCTGTGGGTCTGGGCAACTTAGACTGCCATGGGAATCTGTTGGAGATCTGATGTGAGCAGCCACTTTTATTTCCAAGTGTTTGTTTGCTTTTTCAAGTCTTCCAGGCTTCCTAAGTCTCTTGACCCCTTAGTCACATCTCAGTGCACACTTTTATTGCATTAAACATTTAAAAACTTTATTTTGTTTGTTTTGGGGGGTTTTGTTTGCTTGTTTTTGCAGTACTGGGGGTTTAATCAAGGTACTCTACCACTGTGCTACATCTGCAGCCCTTTTATTTTGACGCCTTGCTAAGTGCCCAGGCTGACCTCAGCCTCCCAAGTTAGCTGGGGTTATAGGCATGCACCCCTGTACTGTGAAGTTTTAAAAATTCGTAGCAAATATTTTTTGTAGTACTTGATTCCTAAAGCCTATTATCTGTTTTCTTCTGCCCTGCAGCCAGATGCTGTGGGTGGGGAAGTATGGCTGAGGGGAAGCCCATCACCATCCGCAGGTCACGTGCTCCTCCTGTGTGACCCCCAGGTTCTCCCACACACCCTTCCCCACTGCCCACAGTTTTGGAGGTGCAGGTCTCTGGCTGCCTCAGGAGCCACCATCCTCCACATTATTTGATGAAAGGTGTCTTTCTTGGGCCTGCAGGGCCAGGCACATTGTTGGAGCCTCTTATGGGTGAGGGCTGCTCCCAGCAAGGAGAGCAGAGAGCATGCCAGTTAGGTATCTGTTCCGGGTGAACTAAGGAGAGCATAAACACCTCAGCGTGCCACACACACGATACCACATCAGGAACATTTCCTGTGCAGAGGTGTCCAGGTGTCCGCCCAAGTTAGCACGGATGCTCAGCCCACCTCCCTGGGGCCTGTGGGCTCCTGGGGAGGCTGGTGCAAATGCCTGTGTTCATGCTCCTCAGCGAGGACAACGTCCCAGACCCCAAGGCCGTGAAGGAACAGTTCCGCGGGAGCCTCGTGGCAGCCCTGGGCGCCTATGGGCCACACTTCCTGGCATACTTCGGCTCCTTTGCCACAGTGGGTCTGCTCTGGTTTGCACACCACTCGCTCTTCCTGCACGTCCGCAAGGCCACACAGGCCATGGGTCTGCTCAACACCCTCTCCCTGGCCTTTGTGGGTGGCCTCCCTCTGGCCTACCAGCAGACTGCAGCCTTCGCCAGGCAGCCACGAGATGAGCTGGAGCGTGTGCGCCTCAGCTGTGCCATTGTCTTCTTCGCCAGCATCTTCCAGTTTGCCATCTGGACTGCGGCCCTGCTGCGCCAGGCGGAGACGCTGCAGCCAGCTGTGCGATTTGGTGGGCAGGAGCATGCCTTCATGTTTGCCAAGCTTGCGCTATACCCCTGTGCCAGCCTGCTGGCCTTTGCAGCCACCTGCCTGCTGAGCAGATTCAGCACAGCCATCTTCCACGTCATGCAGATTGCAGTGCCCTTCGCCTTTCTGCTACTGCGCCTCCTCGTGCGCCTGGCTCTGGCCAGCCTACGTGGCCTACGCCACCTGCGGCCAGCACAACCCCTCCGGAGCCAGGCCCCAGAGGAGGCCCAGTCCCAGCTCCTGCCTTCCTCCTGCTAGTGGAAGCTATGCCTGCCCGGGAAGGAAGCCTTGGGGGTTGGGCCAGCAGGCCCCATGGAGCTACAGTCTGGGTTTTGCCTCCATTGTGAAATATCAAGATCTGTTTCAGAGTATGCAAGTTGTCCTCCTTTTTACACTATGAGGAGTTCCACAGGAACTCAGTCTCTGCTGTTAGCCACCCACTTTCCTCCTAGACTCCAACACTACCAGGAAGAACGCCCCTCTGGAACCTGAAGCCAGTGGTCCTCCTGCCCCACAGCCTGTACCCCCTGTAGCCATGCCCTGGCCCACCCTCCCATCAGTGCAGAGCTGCCCTGGTGAGACTGCAGTCCACCACCCCCTCCCCACCTGTCACAAATGAAGAAGAGATGGCCATGGAACAGTGGAGTCCAGATTCTATTCATCCTGATATAAATTAGGTCACATTCAAGGAGTGGTTAGTCAGTCACACACAGGACTAGCACACAGGGACACACACCCAGTGGGCAGACAGTCTCACATAAATGGAGGACAAGCCACACTGACCACAACAAACAAACAATTCTTGCAAATGAGAATCAAGGCAAAAACTAGTTACACCACTAAGACGTGTTTCGGACATTACATATGACATGAACACAAGGAATGTCTATACAAGAGACCACAAGTGGCCCCCAGGACGCATTTGTGCAATTTTGGCAGAAGCAGGAGAAGGGGCTGGGCTTAATGGCACCAAGGCTCTCCAGGGCTGCAGGCCAGGCCACAGCCACTTCTGAGGTCAAGGGCCATGGCCATGCAGACCCAGTGCCAGCAGACAAAGGGAGAAGATCTGACTGAGGTCTCTTTTTTAGGGTTGGGACCTCTTGGGTCTTCCCACATAGGTTTCTCGTTTCTGGTCAAACTCCTTTGGGATCTGAGGTGCAAGGGCTATCTTGGCATGGTGCCCCAGGGTGGCCCGGAAGCAGAACTGCCTGGGGGACACAGCCAGGGCAGGAAGGGAACATGGGACACTTGCTGGCAAGCAGCAGGCATGTAAAGTGCTGTGGTTGAGCCTGAGGCCTGGCGGTGGTCTACACTTCCACCAGTGCACGCCAGCCCTGCCCGTGGACTCTGGGGCCCAAGGGAATATGCTCAGGGCCCAGCCCACACTCCAACTGGGCTCAAGGTGGACTGACAGGTGTGGGAATGCTGTTCCCCTTGCCTTAGCCTTCGCCACCAGCCCTAGAGAAGGGTAGCCAGGCCCAGTCAGTACTGCACAGACCCTGCAGCCACATTCCACAGTGCAAGCTGGAAAAAAGGGAAGGCACCTTCCCCAAGACAAACAGAGGTGGCCACCTTCCCACCGGGAGGGGCAGGAAAAGCTGACAGAACTTGCTACTACAGGGCCAGTAGGAGGTCCAGTAGTAGTTCCAGGGGAATGGTCAGAGTGGCACACGTGGCCCTTGTCCAGTGCTGTCCAGTTATAGTGCTCAGGTGGAGGGTTACAAAGAGAGGGTGTCGACCCCCAGGACGGAAGCCTGGGCCCTACCTCCCGGTTCTCCCTTCCCCAGGACTTCCATGACTAACACCGGTGTGGGATCCCAGCCCCTGAGGGAACAGTGCCCACCTGCTACACAGCTGCCCTTGGGCCAAGGGGGAGATGGCCACCCGCCTCCCATCAGTGTCCACGTAACACCAGACAAGGACAAGAGCCGGAAACATCTGGGCCTGGGAAGATGCTGGGGTCCAGGTGATGGGTCCATCTGCTGGCCAGCCAGTGTGTGAACTCGGAGCAGCTGAAGACAGGAAACCAGCCTTCTTAAGCTTCTACTTAGGGTCACCCTCAAGGGCAGATGAGGTGTCTGCTCTGGCGTCCCTGGTGGTGCCAACCTTTCTGGGTCTCTGCTTGGCCTTCCTTAGCATGTGCACCTGTTTGAGATGGGGGAAGGGTCAGGATGACATAGATCACAGTCCTGGGAGCCCAGGAGGCCAATGCCCTGGATGGGGCCATCTTCAGCCCACTGCCCATCCTCAGCCAGGCCTCTTCTCTTGAGGCCCAGGACTCATGTCTTTTGAGGCCTGGCCACCCTTACCAGGATCCCATGACCACCTGGCCTATAGGAGGCCCAGCCCACTTGAGCAGCAATGGCCGCTGCACAGCCACAGCCCACCTGGGCTTAGCCCTCATCACCATACCTTGGGACCAGCAGCTGAGATGATCATATGCCCCGGGGCCTGAACCCAGGGCTCACCATCCACCTGCACAGGAGTAGCCTTGAGGAGCGTGACTCGGAAATAGGAACCCTGGGCGATGCGGATCCCAGAGCGCAGCCCACCCTGCACCTGGCCCTGGGCAGAGACAGGCCAGGCTTAGTGGGCCCGTGGGTGCCCTGAGGGCCGCCCGCTGGGCTCCCGTGCTCACCATGTGCATGACGCCTGTCACACCCACCACCTCCAGCAGCCCGTCGTCCATGCGTGGCTTCTCGAACCTCGGGTCGCTGTCTGAGCCCCACAGGTCAGCCCCTGAGCCCCAGCTGCCCCAAGAGGAGGGAGGGGCGTGCACAGATTAGGCCCAGCTGACACTGCTCAGCCCAGGCCACGCAGTCTCCTGGGAGCCCAGCCCCACACCTGCCACACCTGGGGATGTTGATGAAGATGAGGCCCTCAATGCTGGGCAGCTCCACCTCCTGCTGTTCAACCTGCAGCCTGAGCTCCCTGTGGAGGCCGCGGGAGTGGCTGATCTTCTGTAGCCCAACCCGCACATACACACCCTTATTGTGGAACCTGCCGGAGGAGACACACCTGCGGTCACTGGCTGATGGCTACGGCCTTGCCGACAGAAGCCCCAGCTCCTGGCCCTGCCCTTGTGGTACCTGCTGGTGAACTTGCCAGGCTCCTCCTCCCTCGCCTGGTGGAAGTCCAGGCTGAGCTCAGCATCAATGCCAATGCCACAGTAGTTACTCATCTGCACTATCTGAGGAAAAGGGTGTCAGCAGGTCACCAGCCAGCCCCCAGCACCCCAGTGCAATCCACCGCACCAGCAGCTCAGAGGAGCAGCCTCATATTCCAAGCGGGGGTGCCCGTACTCCTGCACGTGGCTGAGGAGGGAGCATTTCTGTGCACCTCAAGAGCCACCTGCAAGAGCCAAGCAGGGGGCACACTGGTACCTTGGGGGGCTCTGTGTCCACTACACTGTTCTCGGTACTACTGGCCTCCTGGGCGTCCAGCAGGATGGTCCAGCGGTCCATAAGCACAGCATCAGCCTCATCCACAGACACAAGCACAGAGAACGGGTCTTCCCCGCTGTAGCCTGCCCCCCAGCGGAGCACTCGGCCAAGGTCATTCCCTAGGACAGAGGTAAGGCAATGACTCTCACATACCATCACAGAACAGAGCCCCCAGCACAGGACAGAAAACCCAGCACAGGCCTGGAGCAAAACCAGGGGCAGGGAGAGCCATGAGGCCCCAGTCTTCCACTCAATGGCTGGCCCCACCTGTGCCCAGGGGCAGGATGGCCACGGATGGCTCTGGACAGGCCAGACGGTGTCGTATCTCCTCCAGAGCGCCAAGCACCCAGCCCACGGTGCCATCCCCACCACACACCAGCACCCGGAAGCAGGGTACCTGGGAGAACAGATGAAACCTGCAGCAGGAAACAGGAAGTGTCCCACCACAGTGCAGCAGCTCCTTCCACATGCCTGTCTCCAGCCACATAGAGGACCTGAAGGTTCCATCTTGGAGCTCCAACTGGAGTTCCCAGTGGCCACAGATAGCAGCGGGGCCCTCCCGCCTGCAGCAGACCCTGACTCACCCAGGAAGAGGCCCCCCATTGGTCAGCTCGAAGACCTGGTGTGGGTTCAGCAGCCTGCGGAAGCTGCAGAGCAGGTCTCGGCCCTTGAGGCCCCCACTTTTGGGGTTCACGAACACGAGGAGCGGGCAGCAATCTGGGGGCAGCTTCATGTGCTGAGAAGCAGGAGGGCAGGGTCAGGGTAGGGCCAAGGTCCTTGGGCTGCCATGCAGCGTCTGCTCTGAGCCCCGAGCCCAAAGAAGGGAGGGCTGCTTCCCCACATGAGCACCGGTGCTGACCTCAGGACCACAGGCTGTGGCCAGTGGGCAGCAAGGAGGCCGGCTGGCTGCCTGGCGGTCCAGGCACAAAGGCCAGCCACACCCACCTGCCAGGCTACACAGCCCATAGGGCCCTGCTTGGTGCTGCTAGCCAGCACACCAGGCCTGGCCCTCAAAGGGCCACCCACCTACCCTTTGGAGATTGGCAGCTTCCAGGAAAAATGCTGTTTTCAGGGTGGCTACACGTCTCCCTTGAGCTGTGAGACAGAACCTGTCTCCCATTTCCCACACACAACCCCAAGACCAGCCTAGGAGTCTAGACAGTGGGCCAGGCAGCATCCCTGTGACAGGGTGGGGTGACGAGACAGACACAGGGTGGGCAGTGGCACACGGACCAGACCGTGGCTGGGCAAGGACACACTTGGGGCTTCGTGGCCCGAGGGGCAGGCAAGGCCGCCTGCACTCACCACTTACCCACTCACCCCAAGGCAGGCAGCTGACGGGAAAGAGAAAGCGGTGTCGGCCTCAGGCCCAGCTCTGCCCATGGAGCAAACAGGACGGGGCTGCGGTGTGCCTGAGCCCTGGCCTACAGGGACTGAATCCCCAGAAAGTGGGGACAGTCACCTGGCCTGGCCAGGATAGGACCAGGTAGGGAAACGACAGGAAGGATCTATGGGCATTTCCTACTCAGTCACAGACCCCTAGACTAATTCTTTCTCCTGGGCTTATGTCGGGGGTCAAGGGCCAGGATTCAAGAACAATATAGCTGTGGACACCTGGGCCTCGTGGGACGAGCAGGGGCAGGCAGGGCAAAGTCGCCATGGATGCCTGGGGGCCTTGAGGAACATGCAGGGGCAGGCAGGGCTGAGAGCCACAGGCCACCATGAGGGTATGGGACGGAGGTCCAGGCTCCAGCCCTCCTGCAGCTCACCCCTGTGCTCACAGGGAGTGCTGCTCTGGCCCTGTGTCACCCTGCCACCCTCTTCCAGGTACAGGTAGGTCTTGAGGGGCGCCCCAGTGACGGGTTTACACTGGCTGGTCAAGCCCTGGGTGTGGAGCAGGGCCCCTATGGCCCCCCAAGACAGGTGGAGAGGACAGGCCAGAATGATGATGGTACAGTAACAGGCTCTGGCTCTCAGCAAGCGGCTGCTGTACAGTCAGGAGCTGCGTCCTGTGGCCTCCCCACAGCACAGAGACAGGAATCCAGAACAGACAGCCAACCCCAGCCCCCAGGAGCGGGTCTCACCCACCAGCAAGCACGGACCCTCAGACCTCGGTCCCTCTGGTGTTAAGTGGGCAGCCTTGTCCACCTTTGGCTATGGTGAGGCCTGACCAAGGTGGCACTACCAGCCCCAGCACACTCGAGGGAGATGGTGGTTGAGCGCGTCCAGCCATGAGGATGGAAGATGTGCAGGTTCCACCCTGGAGAACCACGCACAGCCCAGAACTGCCCACTCACCAGCACGTCTGGGAGCACCAGCAGCGACAGCGGCCGGCCACGCACCATCGTGTCCCTGCCCAGCATGAACAACCGCTCAGCCTCAGCAAAGCAGGCCACGTCCAGCACCACCGCACCTGCACAGGTGGCCAGAGCTCAGGGGCCTGCCCTGCGCACCCACCCCACCCGCCCATGGGGCAGCTCGGGGGCCTGCCCTGTGCACACACTGCCCCATTCCCATGGTGCCCAGAGCAGGGTTTCAGTCCCCTGGTAACAGCCCCAGCTCTAGCCACAGCCATGTAGAGTCAGCGCACTGATGCTGGCATCTACAGTGAGGGGCCTCCCCACCCCAGAGTGCTTCCAAGGATGGCCAGGCTCAGTAACTGAACCCAACAGTGGGCAGTGGGCCCGTTCCCTGCACCACAATCCTCACACCCACACCCAGCATCCCCGGGTAGGCAGGTCATGGGCATGTTTGGAACCTCCCCAGCAAGAGGCAGGACCATGGCAGGAGGGGCGTGGAGAGCACAGCTGAGCCTGAGCCACACTGACGCAGGAGCATCAGAAGCCGGCAGGTATGGCTCCAAGCTCTGAAGGAGGGAGAAAGATAGCTTTTCCACCCACCTCCGGAGTCCGTGGGTGCAGCTCACCTTGTGAGTTGTAGACATGGCTCACGGACACCACGGCAGCTGCAGACAGACTTGTGTCAGGGGTGGATGGTGCCAAGGCTGCCCGACTCCCCCTCCCAAAGGTATCCCACTCCAGAGCAGGGCCCTGCCCCCTGGAGGTCCAGGGACCTCACAGGGGGAAGCAGAGATCCCTGAGGAATGACAGAGGATAGGAAGCTGAGTGGGCTGTGCCTAGGGTGGGAATGGAGTCGGGGTTCAAATGGTGGGAAGGGCAGGAGAACCACCCCAGCCAGAAGCCCTGGCCAGCCCAGGGTCACACCTTTGGTGGCCATAGCCTCATGCAGCAGGTGACTGTATTCCTGGGGGGACAGGCCAGGTGGCAGGCCACCCACGAACAGAGAGACGTGTGGGGTTACGGTCCGGCTCTCGGTGACATAGAACCGTGTCTGGCTCACCTGCCGCACAGATGTCTGTAGGGAGGGCAAGGGCTGTAGGGATGCTGGGCAGTGCCATCAGCGCCCACTCCCCATCAACCAGGGGCAACAGAAGTAAGAAGGGCACCAGGGCTGCCTTCCTCTGGGTGAGCCCTGCCCCCCTCAAGGAACTGGGGCAGTCTGTGGCTCAAGGCCCTCTTGCTGGGTGACGATGTTTCATGGAGGGCACTGCCAGCCAGGGCAGTCAGTTGCCTGCTAGGAAGGAGACACCCCTCTGTGGGGCAAAGGCCATGGCTAAGGGCCACAAGTACACTGGGGCCAGTGTCCACACCCACTGACCTGCCGGATGTCCCGAAGCCGATCAAGCAGGGGCTCCTCATCTGCTAGCACTGTCCGCTGGACTGTGGGGTTGAGGGGCACAGCTCATTACGGGTGGGCTCCTCCCTACATCAGCCAAGAGCCACCCTGAGAACCCAGGCATATGGGGACATAGGCAAGACCAGCCCCAACATCCTGAGGACAGGCTTGGGAGGCCTGGGATGTGTGTAGGGCATGAGAGCACTGCCGGGCTACTCACCCACCTTGCTTGCTGCCCATGAGCACCTCGACCAGCTGGAAGCTCTCAGGACCCTCAACCTGCAAGGCAGGAAAGGCATCAGGCCTGGCCACCTCCCCAGGACACCTTAGGGGACAGCGACAGGGCCCACTGGGTAGGGAATCCCCAGGTCTGTCAGAACTAGGCAGGCCCAGCATACACACCTGGCGCCCGAACAGCGGGAGGACCTCCAGCACCACGGTCTGCGCTGTGCTCTGTGGGGTCACACGGATGGACACGTAGGCCACACCCACCCTGCAGGGGACAGGCTTGGAGCTTGGGCCCTGGGCTCCTACCCCATTCCCTCCCCCAGCTGACACCGTGCCTTGGGCCTCACTTGAGCCAAGCTGGATAGATCTTCAGGACCTCCTGCGTCCGAGGCAAGGAACGAATGACCCAGGCCTCGGGCATGGACTCCTGGGGCCCAGAGACTCTGCTGCCCTCCTCCTCTACAGGACCACTTAGCCCAGTCTTCCCCAGGGCCTGGGTGTCACCACTCAGTGAAGGCAGGGGCAGCGCCTGCAGCTCAAAGTCCCGAGCATCCTCAATGACACAGTAGGCCCGCAGCGCCACCTCCTGCGGGGGGTGGGGGGAAAATGATGTGGGGAGGCCTGGTGGGGTAATCGGTGTGGGGACCTGGGTGTGGCCGCTACTGGGGCCTCACAGACGTGTGGCCCTACCCTGGCCTCCCTCTTACCAGCACCTCCTGGCTCCTGGCCAGCCGCGGGACAGTCACCAGGCGGAACTGGTTTCTCCTGATGGCATCATTGCCATCAAAGATCTTCAGGGTCTGCTTGCCTGGGCCAAGAGGGAACAGTGAGGACTCCATAGGGGGAGCGTGGGGACCAGCTGATCTCTATTGGGCATTTACCTGACTCTGGAGCCACCAGGGCCTCTCTGCCCAGCACCCCGGTAGCAATTCCATCTGCTCCATCGTCCCTGTCACCTGCATATTGGACATGGATCTGTCAACGCTCTGCCAACCTGGACCCTGGTGCCCCCCAGGCCACCCACAGCCTCACCTGGCTCTGGCACCACAGCCTCAGCAATGCGGAAGCAGTGCATCTTGCTGAAGTTGCGGGACAGCAGGCGCACACACGAGGGGGGCAGGACCATGGAGCGCAGGCGCCCAAACGCACACTCTGGAGCAAGCGCCGTGGAGCACACCGCATGGGCCTGGGGGACATGGGGCGAGCCTGACGCACTGGGAAAGAGGCGGCCTCACCCAGACCAGAGAAGACAGGGGCCCTCATCCCCAAGACAGCACAGTGTAGACCAGATCCAGGAAACGGACACCTCAGCCCATCCCCAGGGCCCACCCCAACCAGGGCTATCCCAGGGCTCCACTCCCACCCAGCCCCCAGCCCATGCCCACCTGGACACCACACCACTCGCAGCGCACACCTGCTGGCACATCGGAGGACCCACACGTCTTCCTGCAGACCTCGCAGCGCGTGCCGGAGGGCAGGTTCCCCTCCCGCCAGTGGTGGTGATGCGTGTCCTGTGGAGGGAGCAGTCAGTGGCACGGCCCACCCTTGCCCAGGCCTGCCCTCACCCAGGCCCCTGCACTCACATGGTCCTGGTGTCCATCCTGGTGGCACTGGCGGCAGTCGCTGCAGGCGAAGGGCACACAGTCGGGGTGAACGTGCAGCTCACACACTGGGGGGCGGGCAGGGTTAGGGGCTCTCACCGTGCCCCTGCCCCCGCCCTCCTTGCAGGCCTCCCATTTGGGGCTGGGTCCGACCCCAACCCCTGCCACCAAGGAATCCCCTTCCTACCTACCTGCATGGGGCGTGGTGTGCACCCCTCCTTCGGAAGCTCCCCGGCCGGCCCTGCGCCTACCCCCGCTTCCCTAACAAACCATGGCCTGGGGAGGGCAGGCCACCAGAGGGCAGGCCACCCTGGGCAAGAGAGAGCAGGCCCTGGGTGAGGGGCTCAGCCTAGGAGGCCATGGGGCCAGTGGTACCTTCACAGCGAAGTGCGGGTGCCTCCAAGCCCTTGCGACACACAGAACAGAACCTGCGCTTGTAAAGCCCCCGGGGGCCGAAGCAGTGGGCTACAGGGACCTGCAGGGCAGAGTGAGCCTCAGCCTCTGCCAGTCTGGCCTGCATCCCCTCCCTGGCTGCTGTCTCCTCCCTCCAAAGGCTCCTGAAGCCACCACCTCCAGGTCTACCCTCTGGGAGGCAGTCGGCCACAAGCACTGTGAACCTTGCCTTTCCATGATAGAGATGGAGAGGGATCCGTTCTTTTTCCAGTCCTTCAATTACCATGTGCACAGCAGGAGGGATCGTAAACAGAAAGCTTGCACGCCAGAATGGCAACCATGGGCACAGAGGCTGTGTATATTTCTTTATCTTGTTTTTTGGTACTGGGGATTGAACCCTGGGGTACTTTACCATTGAGCTACATCCCCAGTCCTTTTTATTTTTTGAGACAGGGCCTTACTAAGTTGCCCAGGCTGGCCTTGAACTTGCAATCCTCCTGCTTCAGCCTCCTGAGTTGCTGGAATTACAGGTGTGTGCAACCATGCCTGGCTTTTTAAAAATATCTATATCCTCCAAATTTTTATCTCATATATATTTGAAATTTTTAACTTTTTTAAATTTTTTAATTTAATTTTTGATTTTTTTAAGTGAAGAGGAAACATTAAGACCAACTTTAGAATATAGCCATAAATGTCTACATGAAGGGCCACCCCAGCCAATGTGACACCCCAAGCCAGCTCCTGAAGCCAGTATCCACAGGCCCTTTTGGGCTCACACATGGTATTCAAGTCATTCCCCAAACACAGCATCAAGTATCCCAGGGCAGACACCACCTGGCAGCAGGTGACCTGCATCCCGGCCCCCTTCACCCATAGGCACAAGCCCACCACACCAACAGCACTGCTGCGCTGAGCTCCAGCCCACTGCACCAACATGGTGGTCGGTGGTCCCACTGCCCACAGCCAGCTAGCAGGCAGGTAAATAGGTGTGATGCTGTATGCAGGGCACAGGTGACCACTGATGCCATCAGTCCTCCCTAAACACTTGGCTGCCATCACCCACAAAAGAGAAGTCCCTGCACCCTGCAAAGACCTCAGCCAGGTGCCTGAACACCCCATCGAGAACCCTGAAGAGGGAATTAGATGGCCAAAACTCCTCCAGCTCCTAGGCTTGGGCCTTCTGTTTATATAAGCCTGTTACCTTGAGCATTTGTAGGCTCAAGGGCCACATCAGACAGAGCTGGTAGGTATCACAGCAGGGCAGTGACAGTGATACTGAATCAGAGCACCCAGCCCGAGGAGACCCACATGATGTACCTGGTACCCATGCCCACTCCTCTACCCACAACCTGAACTCTCCCAGCATCCCATTTCACCTGCTACTGGGCAGGGTGGTAGAGCATGTACCCTGTGGGACTGGCCTCCCCAGGCACGACACCTGGGGATCCACCCAGGTGCTTGGTGTCATCAATTGCTCCTTCCCTTAGATGGCTGAGCAGGATTCTGCCCTTCGCTTCTTTTTTTTTTTTTTTTTTTTTTTTAATATATATATTTATTTTTTAGTTTTCGGTGGACACAACATCTTTGTTTGTATGTGGTGCTGAGGATCGAACCCGGGTCGCACGCATGCCAGGCGAGCACGCTACCACTTGAGCCACATCCCCAGCCCTGCCCTTCGCTTCTTAATCACGGTGTGACCAAGCTGACAAGTAGGACAGCCAGGCAGGCCCTGGCCCCACAAGGGCCCACACGCACTGCTAGGGTGGCACTCACCCTCACCAGGCTGGGCGCGATGCCCGTGCACGGCGTCCTCACATGCTTCAGGCACTTCTCATGGGACATGAAGTTGCAGACTGTAGGAACAAGAGCTGTGTCAGTGGCCTGGTCCTGCAGGGCAGTCACCTCCTACCCAGGAGATGAGAGGCCCCAGGACCCAGGGCCTGGCCCCTAGCCTTGCCCAGCAGGGCTACAGCAGGGCACTAGCACTCTGCCACAGGGCCTGAGTACCCATCACAGTGGATTTTGGCACAGCTGATGGAAGAGGTCCCTCCAGTGAGCTGCTGTGGTGCCTGCCCTGACGACTGGGCAGTGGAGAAGCCATTCCTGCTATCCCCATAATATGAAGCCAGGTGACGGCATTAACACAGATCCCCATGTTCCCTACCCTCATCCACAGATAGGGACTGGTGCTGTGGCCATCCTGGGAAACAGCAGACCCAGGTCCCCCTGCACCTCTGCAGCTGGCCCTGTGAGAGGGATGGTCCTGGCCACAGCAGGCAGAGGTTTCAAAAACTTCTACACACCTACCAAGAGCAGCTTTGCCTGGGACACTCTTCCCTCCTGCTCCCACAACTGCATCCTCTCCTAACTGCTCCTGCCACATTCTATGGGCTGTGCCTAATATCTAGAGCCACACCAGGCAGGTGGGGCACCTAGCCAGGTGAGGGCTCCCAAAGGCAGGAGTTGCCAGCAGGGAGACTTCCCTAAGCCTCCAAAGACAGTGAGAACTTAAACACTGGCTAGGTGGGAAGGCCAGGACAGCACTGGGGCCAGCAGACATGGCACCCTGGTCCTGGGGAGGCAAAGTGTCCCTGGGCCTCAACAGGGGCAAAGGCTCAGCAGCAGAGAGATGATGGTCAGAAGGGGCAGAGGGCAGTCTGTCGTGGCACATTCAGAGCCAAGAGAAGACAGAGGGGCAAGGGGTCCAAGCTGGGCCCCAAGGGTAGGAAAGGTGGACAAGGCCACAGGGGCAAAGAACACAAATTCCAAAACTGCCTGGAGTGAACCTGCCCGTGGGGCCTCAAGGCAGCCCCATTCTTAGGCACCTCCCAGAGGGCAAGCTGCCCCCAACCTTTGGACCCTCACCTCCCAGCCTTAGAAGGGAACAGGCAGAAGTTTCTCCGTAGACTGCTCCAGAGACAACGTGTGAAAGTAAGCTGGGACTGTGGGGGGCAGGAGATGGAGAAGGAGTCCTCCAGCCTTCCCCAGGGGCCCTGCTCCCTGTTCACTCTGGGACAAAGACACGGCCAGCTTCCTTTACTGGGAGGGGAGGTGGTGCCTGATCCCGCATTCCATGCCTTGGGTGCTGCTGGGAGGAGCACATCTCCCCACACCCTTTCCAAGCCCTGTTTGCCCAGGTCATAGTCCTATCTTTACAGACACTGCCCGGAAATGGCCTCTCCATCATCTCCCACACATCAGGCCAGCCCCTCAGTGAGCTGCTTTGCCCAAGGCTAGGCTGAAGGTTCCTGAGCCCCTTGAACCTAGAACCCACCTGCAGGGGCCCACTTGTGAAGGGGACCAGGAGTCTAGTCTTATACTTGGCTTCTGCCTTCACACCTCTCACTGCTCCAGCCTCAAACCTACAGTTCCACATTCATCACCTGCCACCTTCACAGGGATCAGTCTCAGACCTGGAGCTCTGTTTCTGTGCCTTTCACCTGTGCAGGGAATCCTGTGGTCTACCTTCTACCTGCCTGCAGCCCTGCCTTTTCTACCTCTCACTTGTGCATGGGGTCCTGGAATCTAGCCTGACTTGGAGCTCACTTGGCCTGCACATGCACACCCTCCACCATAATGGAGCCCCAACATTCCTGGGAGCAGGCAGAGCAGTGCAGTCTCTGATCTGTCAGAGAAACCACAGTGATCACCCCTATGCCAGCTGGCCACACCCTTTTCACTGGCAGAAGACACCCCTAGGTGAGTCTTTGGCCTGAGAGATCCCACTCTAGAGCAAAGGCCTATCTCCCTGAGCAGGGTAGAAGTTCCTCAGCCAGTCCCACCTCCAGCCCCTGACCAGGACATAGGAAGTGCCAAAGGTCCATGTGTTCCACATAGCTGGGCTGAGGGCCCCAGGGCCTGCCTGCCGGCATGAGAGAGGACCAGAAGAGGCCCAGCCCAGATGCACCCCTGAGGCAAAGACAGGGCTGCCTCGCTGGCTTGGCAGCTGGGTGGGAGCCCTGTTGGGACATGCCACAACTGGGAGGAGACCCAGCCAGGCTCTCCACGCAGCAGACTCTGAGCAGAGCCAGCATTCAGTCCCTCTGGGCAACAGCATGCATTCAAGAAGAGAATGACCAGTACCCGCGGTCCAGGGCAGCCGGTTTGACCATCCCTGCTACCCAGTCGCTGAGAGATGCACCCAGAACTGGGAACCCCAGAGAGGTCTGGCCAGTCTTAGGGCCAGCTGGCTCTATCCCGGGCCCTGCAACTGCCCCCAACTCAATCCCAGCGCCACACCGTGGCGACACTCCCCGACTTCCGACAAGGGAGCCCAGGAATCCTGCCGCAGGAGGGGTAGGGATGAGCGACAGTGTGCTGAGGGAGGCCCGGCACCGCGCTCCGGGAAGACAAGGCCCGTGCGGGCCCGCGGCGCAGAGGTCAGGGCGCGTCCCGCCCAGGCAGCCTCTCGGGACGCGGCTCCGGCCGGCGGCGCGCGCTCACCATCGCACAGGAAGCCGGCGAGCCCCCAGACAAAGTCGGAGCAGAGGTGGCAGAAGGTGGGCTTGGTGAGCGTCACCTTCCGGAAGCTGTGACCCGCAGCGGCGGGGCCAGGGGCTCTGCCGCCAGCCCGCTCCGACCCCGACCCCGGCCCCTGGCGCGCGTGGCCTCGGGCACCCAGCACAGGGCTGCTGGCCGGGCTGCTGGGGCGCACGGAGCCGCCGCCCAGCCAGGCGCGTGCCCCGGGCTCGGTCGCCGCTGCCATCCCGGTCCGAGCAGCGCGAGCCCAGATCGCAGGCGGGTACAGGCCGAGTCGGCGCTGGAAGACTGACGCCGTACTCCGCCCGCGCCGGCTTCCGACTGCTCTGCCTACTGAGCAGGCGCAGGGCGGGGCCATGCGCGGACCGAGGCGGGGCCTGGTGAGGGCGGAGACGGCGAAGCGGGATCGGGACGCGGGGGGCGGGGCTGAGCGCACGGGGCGGGGCCAGTGGGGAGGAGGGGTGGGGCCTGTCCTGGAGAGGCGGGACGTCCAGGCGGGGCGGGGCCTGCAGAGCGCTGGTCCCAGCCCGGTGGGCGGGGCGAGCAGGGGAACCGAGGTGGTCCACTTGGTTTCTTCCTAACCGCCAGGGATCGTCTGGCAGGCCCGAGCCGGGGCTGTAATTCCCCGCTTGCGGCGTCGCGACACCGGACTTGAAGCCTTTGCACCTGCGGCTCCCATGCTTGTGGCTGTGTGGATCGACACCTCCCACGCAGGACGCTGATCCCAGCGAGAGGCAGTCACTGCCTGGCGCTCCTGGGCGGGTTCCGGGGCCCAGGCTCTGCCTTTCTGCCCGGGTTCACTAAGGACCCAACAGAGGGCAAGAGAGCGGTGAGGGGCTCCAGGGCTAGGACCCCGCGTGCCGCTGTCTCGGGGCTGCAGTGTGGCTGGAAGCTGGGTTTGTGCTGACCTCCCTGACGCACTCTTGGTCACTATCCCCACCACGGAGGTGGGGGCCATGGGAGGGAGCCACCCTTCCCGCGTGGAAAAACCCGTCCCACCACAGTCCTAGTTCTGGAATCCATGGAGCCGGTCACTCAATGGAGGGACAACCCCAGCATGCACGACTTGACTTGTCAGGGTGGTGCTGGTGACATCTGGGGGCAGTCCATATTAGTCACCTTACTTCCTTTGCCAGCAGGGGGAACTTGTTCCTGTCGGTTAGAGTAGGGGCGGCCTCACTGCGCATCTGAGCCAAGAGGCTCCTAGGGAACCCACCTGGCTCCTGCAGGACATCTAGATGCCCCCAGCCAGGTCACCAGGGCAGCCGGTTTGCCCATCCCTGCTACCCAATGGCTGAGAGGTGCACCCAGACCTGGGAACCCCTGAACTAGGGCAGGCTGCACCAGAGCAAAGGGATGAGCCCAGGGGAAGAGGAAAACAAGGAGGGGCACATTAGGAGAGGATACTGTCTCCAGGCAGGGCTGCTGCAGAGGAAATGCCTGGGAATATGCTAGAACTTCTGAATGGGAAACAGGAAGCTTGTTCTTGGTTCCAGGGACCAGTCTAAAAAGAAGAGCAGGCCCTTAAGAAACTGGGAGGGGAGACGTGGTCCTCCATGACTACAGGACTGGTCCACTTGAGCCTCAGCTGAGGGCAGAACTCTGGGGAAGCCTCAGGATACCAGGGATCAGCTGGCCCTCCTGGAGATGCCTCTGGGGCAGACTGACCACAAACTGAAGAGTAAACCATCCACTGGATATGGATGAAGGACCCAAGACTTAGTGCCCAGGAGGCCTAAGGAAGAGCATCTAGGCAGGAGGAACAGCTAGTGCAGAGGCCCTGCTGAGGAGTCAGGGAAAGGCACACCACTTCTGAGGACTCCTCCGTCCTGCACCCAGGGAGTAGCACTGTGCTGCCCTCCACTGACAGCCCTCCCTTTGCCCTACACACCCCAGCCAGCCAGCTGTGAGGACCCTGGTCTCCACCCCTCCTCTCTCCTTTCTCAACCAGATTATGCCCTGGACCTGCCTCTGTGCAGGCCTCCCATAGTCCTCTTGCCCATGGGAGGGCTTCGACCCAACCTTGGAGCCTTGAGGAGGCAGATGTTCCCCGAGGCCCACACCCACGGCCTGCACTTCTGTTAAGGAAGAACAGTGTTCATGGACACTCCCCCCTGCACTCAGGAGAAGACAAGAGTGCACCTGACTGCTTCCTCTAGAACTTTGTTTCCTGACCTAGCATGTTAATTGAAACAGCCAGCATTTCCATCACACCCTCCCACAAGCTTCCCAGAACGTCTTCCAGAGCAACTTGAAACCTCTGCAAAGAATCAAAACCAAACAACACCCGCCAGATGGAGACTCTGTGTTTCAGCATCTTCCACAGCTCTTGGGATGGTCTCTTGTGCAGGCCCCTCTAAGTTCTGACCCCACTAGTCTGTGGGGTTGCCTCTCCTATTCTCTCCCTCTCTGTCTGGGTGGGTTAATCAGTGAGCCTTTACTTCTCTGGCGTTGGGGACTGGAAGTCCAGGGTCAGAGTGCTGGTGTGGTCAGGTTCTGGAGAGAGTCCACTGCCCTCCCCACTTCCTAAGGGAGCCGCTGTGCACTGTAATGGTAGAATTGTGCTGCCAAGTTCATATATTGGAATCCCTTAGCACCTTGGAGTGTGACTCAGTTGGAGACAGGGACTTTACAGAGATGATCAAGTTTAAAACAAGGTGATTAGGGGGCCCTCGTCCCCCATGACTGGTGTCCTTGTTGAAGGGGAGCTTGGACAGACTCACCTGCAGGGGGAAGGCCCTGTGAAGATGAAGGCAGAGGTCAGGGTGGTGGTCTACAAGCCCAGGGGCCAGAACTGCCAGGAGCTGCAGGGGGCTGGCACAGAAACTGTCTCAAACCTCAGAGGAGCCAGCCCTGGACACGCTGATGGTGACTTGCAGCCTCCAGGACAATGAGACATTGAGTCTTAAGCCTACTCAGTTTTGGCGCTTGTTATGACATCCTTAGGACACTCAGAATTGTCATCTGTGCCGGCCTGTACCAAATGGCACAGACACAGAATCCATGTACGTGTTGTTTGGTGATCAGCCTCTCTCTCCGGGTTTTGCCTGAGAGCTCCAGGATCAGCCCATTTAACTGCTGCTGTCCCCTGGTAGGAACTGTGTGTATTCCACTCCATCTGTTCTACTGTCAGTGGGCCCAGGGTATCGGCAGACCTTGGCTGTTATGAATCAGGCTTTGTGAGCCTTCTTCTTGTGTTTGGATACCACATGCTCAGAGATCCCACCGTAGACTAACACCAGTCATAGGACATGCTATGTTCCCTTGGAAGATAATGCCAAGCCCTTGTCCAAAAATCCACACAAAAAGTCAAGTCTTCGGGATGGGGCTGTGGCTCAGTGGTAGAGTGCTTGCCTAGCATGCGTGAGGCCCTGGGTTCCATCCCCCGCACCACATAAACATAAACAAATAGGGCTGGGGATGTGGCTCAAACGGTAGCGTGCTCACCTGGCGTGCGTGCGGCCCGGGTTCGATCCTCAGCACCACATACAAACAAAGATGTTGTGTCCGCCAAAAACTGAAAAATAAAATGTTAAAGTTCTCTCTCTCTCTCCCTCTCTCTCTCTTTAAAAGAAAAATAAACAAATAAAATAAAGGTATTGTGTCCATCTACAACTAAAAAAAAATTATTAAAAAAAAAAAGTTAAGTCAGGCCTCCACACTTGTCACAATCCTGGCTCTAGTTCGGCTGCAGGCAATCTCCATTTGGCTTCCCCTCTCCTGCTGGCAAGCAGGCTCCACCTGCCTTGGGCACCTGCCCCTGCAGCTCTTATGAGGCTGTCGTGCACCCTGGCCTTTTTTCTACCGAGTGTCTTATTCTTATTGACCTTTAGTTCTGGACATAGTCAGGACATGGCTGTCTTGTTGGTCCCAGTCGGTGCTCATTGCTTGTATAGTCCGGTTCACAAAGAAATGCTGTCTGTTGCCCGCTGCCCTGAACTAGGGCAGGCTGCACCAGTGCTCCTGGGGATGGCCCCACCAGTCTGATCACAGTTTTGGCACTCGAGTGACACACTCTCATTTCCTGCGTGGTTCTGTTTCAAGACACCATGTTCAGTGTGTATCTATACTTCCCAGAGACACTGTCTATTGGGCCTGACTGCAGCCTTCCTGACACTTGTCCTTCCTTGGGAGAACAGGTCACAACCATCTTGTGCTAGGGAACACCTGACAGCACCAGCACTGTACTGGGAACCATTTCTGACACTGATAGAGCCCCTGGGTTCAGTCCCTGTACCTAAATAAATAAGCAAACAAACAATCAGACAGCAGAAAGGATACTTCTTTATAGTATGAGCTGAGCAAGCAGTGTGGGGCCTTGGGCCACCCCAGCGGAGCCGCAGGTCAGTGGCTTAAATCTTTCTTTGCTCTGGGCATGGCCTTGAGTGATTGGAGAAGCACAATGAGCCTTGATTTGGGGTTACAAACAAATTTAGCATGTGGGTGAATTTGCAGAACAGGTTTGTGTATATCATACAGGACACACCTCTCCACGTCAGGGCAGTGCTGCTACAGCTCTGGGACTGGAAGTCCTCTTATCATCTTGCAGAGGTGGCTTCTTTTAAAAAAATATTTATTTTTTAGTTGTAGGTGGACACAATATCTTTATTTCATATTTATGTGGAGCTGAGGATCGAACCCAGTGCCTCCTGTGTGCTAGGCGGGCGCTCTGCCACTGAGCCACACCCCAGCCCTAGAGGTGGCTTCTGATGACGCTGGTTTTCATGTCTCAGAGCCAGCTGGGTGTCATGTGCGGTGGGGCTGGGTCCCTGCTTTGACCTAGCTTTCCCATGACCCACCTGCTGTACAGGAGGCAGGCAACCAGGGTGGAACACTGCTGGAGCCTGTCCAGGTGTGGGCCGTCTACAGCTCTCCTCAAGAAAAAATGCAAATAAATTATTATAAAATTAGGGACATTTTTATTCAGAACAAGAGAATAAATTACAACAAATTAAGTGTTTTGTGTTTTTATATTTTGGTTCAGGAGACGAACGCATGGGTGCTCTACTACTGAGCTACACGCCATCACCCTCCTAATTTAGTGAGTTTTACAGAGTCCCGAGACCACGTGACTGAGGCGTCCCATGAGTGGACCCCCTGTGGACCCTGGCTCTTCTTCACCGGTGCCCTGCCATCTCCACACCTCTGCAGGCTTCGTCAAGGGTGGTGGACACACTCCTTCAGCACATGTGCTTCAGGATCAGCTCCCTGCAGAGGCAAAGACACCTGTCCGTTTCTTCTCCCAGAGTAGTACCCCTGGCCCACCTTCAAACCCAGCAGCCAGCCCTGCATCCTAAGATGCCATCCAGAGTGGGTGCTAAGCAGCATAGCCAGGCACACAGGCAGACAGCTGCCCTAGAAGACCTGCAGCTCCGTTCCCAAGGGCGAGTACAACATGCCTCATATTGGCCAGGGCAGAAGGCCGGAGGTGGGCCTAGGGTCTGCACCATGGCTTCTCAGGAAGAAGTGGCTGAGGCATGGTAGGAACACTGAGTGAGTGGGGGACCTGGGGCCTGGGCTATAGGGCAGTCTTCTGTGCACCTGACCCAGGGTTCTCAGGGCAGGGAAGTGTGCTTGGTGGGAGGTCTGGGGAAGGAGCCTCTGTGGCTCCTGATTGGTCAGCCTGCGCATCAAAGGGGAGTTGCATTGCTGTCTAGGAATTAGTCAGCCTGGGGTGGGCAAGGGCTGTCCAGGATCAAGGCCTCAAATGCCAGAGCATCAAGACCACAGGAGCACGGGCATATATAAGCAGATATAAGCAGGACAGTGGGGAGACTCGCCCTAGAGATGTGCGTCAGATTCTGTTTAGGGAGAAGGGGGAAAGAACAGAAAGGCGCTGGTTCTGAAGAAGTCCCAGAGCAGCAGTGGCTGTCCCTCCCCCACCCCCAGTTGGCCAGAGCAGGAACTGAACACCCCACCCTGGAGCTAAAGGCCTAGGCAGAGAGAGTGGGCCGAGTGGAAAGAAAACAGAACTGAGGTCCACAGGGAGTACTCAGGAGCCCAGTCCTCCTGACCTTTCATCTGGAAGCCCAAGGGCCTTCTGGTGGGCACTACAGCCCCAGGTGTAGCCCAGCTCCAGTCCCTCCCCAGCTTCCAGTGAGTCCAACCCACTCAACTCCTCCTGGCCACGCCCCCTTGGCCACAGCCAGCTCTGCCTGAGGGGAACAGGGTGCAGCTTCCCAAGCCCTGACCCCCGCTCCTGCCACACACACCCTCACAGGAGCCAGACTCTCCCCTTCTCCAGGGAGGGGCGCAGCGAGACCCCCAGGACCTCCCCGAGAGACCAGTTCCAGGCCCTTCTCTTTTCAGACACTCCAGTCCACATTCCTTTGTTCTCTGTGGGTTCTGCTGGCAACAATTCCACATTTCCAATTTTACTCTTGAAGCCAACAGGTGCCCCCTTCAGAGCCTGAGGAGCCCCCACTATGGCAGTCCTGGCACCTCCCCACCTCTGGAGCCCCTGGGCAAGACTGCCCTTCTTAGTCCTGTGGTGGGACCTCAGAAACCATCTGCCGGGCTCCTGGGGACAGAAGTTCTGAAAGACCTAGACCTGACCCTCCACACACCACTGCCCATGGACAGCCCTCACTAAGACAGGGAGCCAGCAGGGCCTCCCCTGTCCAGTCCTTGCCTTTCTGCAGGGCCAAGAAGCCCATACCCAGCCAACTCAAGGCAGTCGTAGTGGAGAGGAGGCTCTGGCCAGCACACAGCCCATTTTCACTCATGTTAGAACTGCTGGGCCACAAAGGTCATCCCCTTTGGGGCGTAGAACATTTGGGAACCTCTGCCTTATGAATATCCCAAACATAAACCAAAATGCCGTGTCTCTGTGTCCCAGAGGCTGCAGTGTGAGACCCTGCCAGGACCTGCCCCTTCCCTTCCCCAGGACCTTCACTCTGAGTCCACTGAACTGGATCTGATCAGCCCAGCTGCCAACCTCAGGAGAGTTCTCTAAGGCTGTCCTGCACTTCTCGTAAGCCATGCCTCCCTGGCTGCCCCTTCCAGGCCCACGGGATAATCCAGGAGAATCTCATAATGCAGCTCCACCTGCACAGTCCCTGCACCACACGGGCCATGGCCCGGGTCCAGCACCAGCACAGGCTGTGCCCTCAGTGGTCGGCATCAACACCTCTTTTGTCCAGTTGATGCTCCAGGTCCCGTGAGAGGTCCCACAGCTGGGTTCGCACCGGACGCGTGTCAGACTTGCACTGCCTCTGCCAGCCCTCTGGGCCTCCCTTCCTCCTGCGCCCGAACCTCCTGGGGTTTTTCCCTTCTGCATGAAGGACATTGCTTGCTGTTTCCTTAACTGGAAGTTGATGGTGGCAAACCTCGGAGTTTCTCTAAAATGTTTCTGTTCAACCTTTTTTTGGAGGGGGGGCGGGGGGACACTGTAGTTTGCGACAGTCTCACTAAATTGCCCAAGCCGGGCTTGAACTTGCCATCCTCCTGCCTCAGCCTCCGGAGCTGGGACTGCAAGTGCTGCCACCCCACCCTGCCTGGAGAATGCTTCTGCCGGGTTTTGATTTCCGCTCACTGGTGACCTGCTCTAGGCAGCGTCAGTCCCCCGCCACCTGCCGGTCGGTACTTCTGCTGAAAGGCCAGTGTCCCTTCACTGCTGGGCCCTAAAAGCGGGAGGTCTCTTCCCTCTGGAAGCTTCTTGTATCCCCTTGGTTTTGGCCTCGGCTCTACATCCTGGGCTGATGGGATTCTGCTCTCTTCCCGGTTGGGCCTCTGCAGCACCCCTGACCCGCGGCCTGGGTCTGCAACGCTGCTCCCGCTCCGCTCTGCCTCGTCTCCAGGTGGGGAACCTGAGTTGGATCTTCTCCCTGTGTTTGTTCTGCAGTCTCCCCTATTTTTCTGTTTAGTGTGGATTTAACCTGTGCTCTATCTTCTAGTTCTTCTTCCTTTTAGGTGTGAACTGCAGTTAAACCGACCGATTACATTTCTGACCTATCTGTTGAGATATGACTTTCATACAATAAAACAGATCAATTTAAATTGTGTGATTCAACAAGTTTTGAGTAAGTCTTCTGGAGGTGCTTATGGATTTTTTCGATATTTCCAGGTTGAAAAATGTAAAATAGAAAATTCGCATATTTTTCTCCTAGGTCAACTGTTTTCGATGCATTTGTTTTTTTTTTTTTTTTTTTTGGTGGGACTGGAACTGGGTGTGGAAACCAGGGGTTCTTACCCACTGAGGCACATCCCCAGCCCTTTAAAAAATACATTTTGTTTAGAGACAGGGTCTTGCTGAGTTGCTTAGGGTCTCACTAGGTTGGTCTTGCGATCCTCCGGCCTCAGCCTCCTGAGCCAGGGATCACAGGGGTGTGCATGGTGCCCATATATCTTACTCTTTATATGTGACAATATCATTGTTTTCTGTTTTAGTTTTCAGAGCCATTTTGGATACAGACATCATGACCCTTCACCTGTAAACACTTGAGCATGATCTGGAAAGAACTAGAGCAGTCCATCCACAGCCCTGACCACAGCCTTTGAGGCTGGCATTTCAGAGCCCCCACGCACACACTCCCAGGGGCAAACTGTCCAGTGAGGCCCTGTGCGGCCACCCTAACCCTCGCTGGGGACCTGCCTCAGCACATGCATCAAGGACTTTGTGGCCCCACGTTTCTGCAGGTACCTGCTTTTCTCCTAGCAGATGGCTGGGTGGCAGGTCATTTAATTCACACAGGGTGGAGGTGATCCAGGGTGGACTTCAGTCCCTGCCAGGCCAGTTCTCTCCTGTTCACCTTTGCTTTAACGTGGGGCCCTTGCCCCAGCTCTGACTTCCGTCCTGGGGTCCCCGTGAAGCTGCCCAAGCTCCACGCAGCTTCTTCTCATACCCGATCCGGAGCTGGAGCCCGGGTGCGAACGCTGGCCCTGCTGGCCACGCTGGAGTCTCCTCCCCAAGCCGGCGTTGTCAGATCCCTGCTTGTAAGCCCTGCTCAGAAGACACTCCGCCCTGCCCCACGTGGGTTTTCACCTGGATTCCTGGCTGCTAGCTCAGTTCTTTGATGCTCGTGAGTCTGTTTTACAGTTTCACACGGTTCACCCCGTGTCCAGGTGGGGCTGCCTGCTGCACTTCCCTCTCCGCTCTCCGCCTCTTTCAGGCCTTTCAGTTTTTTAATTTAAAGGGGTTTTTAGAATTGATTTTTGTATTTTATTTTCCTCCCTTGATGTTTTGGAATTTATACATTGTTTTTTTCTCTTTTAAATGGCTAATTATGACATCTTACCTTGAAATTTTAAGAGGATCCAGTGTTAAAAATATGTTAACCTCCGCCTGCCAAATAAAAAAAAAAAAAGTTCCCAGAACTTTGATCCCTCCTTCCGATTCCGGCTGCTGCTGTCTGGGTATTCAGATTCTGTTTCTAATCCTTCCTTCCTTCCTTCCATTGTTTTATACAATGTTCCCTTGGATTGCTACATGTATCAGGCTACTCTTGTGGGGAAACTTTCATGCTGCAGAACCTGCCTCAGAAATACCCTGGGTACAGGCATCTTGGGGAAACTGCCAGTGTTCTTCCATCTCCAAGTATATTGATCCAACCCATCCCCCCATTAGTCCATTTTATGTTACTACAATGAAATACCCAAAGCTCAGTAGCTTTATAAAGAAAAGAGGTTTATTTAGCTCCTATATTTGGAGGCTGTGAAGCAGCATGACACTGGCTCTGGTGAGAGCCCCCTGGCAGATGGCAGGGATGCCTGTGGGAGTGAGAGATCACATCTCAAGACAAGAAGCTAGAGACATTGGGATCCCACAATCCCTGGGGAGGGCAGCGCCCCAGCATCTAGGATCCACCTCTGCAAGGTCCCACCTCCCACATCACCACCCTGAGGATCAAGCTCCCAGCTCCTGGACCGCAGGGTGGTGAGCTGCATTGTGCCCCAGCACCCCATTCCTGTGGTTCTCCCACCACCGGGCAACGGTCCTGGCTTCCTGCCCCCACTGCCCCTGTCTCCTTCGCCGCTGTCAGTCAATGGCCTTCCTCTGCAGGTGACCTGAACTTTTCTTCTGGTTCCTCTTAAAATCTTGCTGCGACCTTTCTTGGTTTCCAGTTCTGCTACAATAGGTGCAGGTGAGAGTCACCTCTTATGGATTCTGCCCGGCACATGTACTTTCTGCTTCACAGGCTTAAGTTTCACATGAGTTACTGCTTAGCTTTTTTTCCCCCCAGTACTAGGGATTGAACCCAGGGGTGCGTTACCCCTGATCTACACCCCAGTCGCTGCCGTCCCTGCCGCCGTCGTCGTCCTCCTCCTCCTCCTTCTTCTTCTTATTTTTTTTTTTTTTTTTGAGATGGATGTTGCTAAATTTCTGAGGCTGGCCTGGAACTTGGAGTCCTGCCTCAGCTTCCCAAGTGCTGGCAACACAGGCCTGTGTGGGTGACGCTCTACCTGGCACCGGCCCAGGACCCTGGTGGGACGCCTCTGCCTTCTTCTCCATGCTCTCAAAGTCTGCGCCACCATCTCGGTGCCCTCTGCCTCTAGGTCAGCTCTGCAGATCTGTCTGCCCAGTAGGCCTGCCCCAGCTGTGCCCTGGGCTCCTGCCGGGGATGTGCTTCACCCCAGGACCCATCCCTCCCCAGCACCTGCTCCGCCCATGTCCCTTTTCTCCTTCAGCCTTCCCTTCACAGCTGTCCTGGTGACCCACGACTTAGAATCACCGTCCAGAACTGTGACCTCGGCTGGCTCCAGGGATGAGCTCCTGCTGTCCGGGGAAGGGGGCAGGGAGGGGTGTTCACCCTGTCACGAAAGCTGACTGCTGAACTGCCCGTTGCTATAGCCTACCTGCTTGCGTCCAAACTTCAGACCTTAAGCTTTACACACCTCCGAGCTTACCTCCCCAGGACATCAGCCGGCTCATCAGCTGTCCATTAGAAGTCGCCACCCGACTGCTCAAAGGCAGCGCGGCCTCTGGCCACACCTGCTCCGGTGCCCCTCTGAATCCTTCTCACCCCCACCTCCAATCCCTCAGGCCTCGCAGTGGGCCAGGCCCTGACCACTTCACGCAGCCCCTGCCCTGCCCTAGGACCCAGTCGCTCTTGGGCCACCCGCCGAGCATGACTGAGACGCTCTCCCAAGGCCACCGCCCTCACAGCAATGCGGGCTCGCAATGCGGGCTTCCGCAGGGACACAGGGGACCCGCGTAGTGCACCAGGAAGAGGGCCTCCAGCCGCCGCCCCTCCAGGCCGCGAGGCCCCGCCCTCGGCCTCCGCCGCGGCGGTCACGTGGGTGCCCCCCTCCGCCCCCCGCAGGCGGAACGGCTGGTCTGACCCTCTGGTCCTGCAGGTGGGGAGCCCTCCGGCCGGCGCCTGCGGCCATGAGCCCCCGCGCCGCGCGGCTCGCGGTCCTGGCCACCCTCCTGGCCACCGCCCTGGCTGAGGCCCCGCACCTGGTGCGCGTGGACGCGGCGCGCACGCTGCGGCCCCTGCGGCACTTCTGGAGGAGCACCGGCTTCTGGTGAGCCACCCCGCGCGGGCCGCTGAGGCCCGGGAGGCCCCCCAGAGCAGGGCGCCCACCTTGCTGCTGAGGTCCCCTGTCGCATCTGGGGAAACCCTCGGGCTCACGGCCCTTCACACTGTGGGCCCTAGGGAGTCAGGACCCACCAAGCTACTTGCTCTGTGGCTCAGGTGGGGGTCTTCTCTCCTCTCCCCTCCACTCCACGTTTGAATGAGTGCTCTCTGTGCTGGATATCTGGGGTCAGCCCTGAGCTTTCCCTGTGGCCAGGAGTCTGAAGAGTCCTGGTGGGTACTTAGGCTGTGGGCTCAGGATGCCCTCTTCCTGACTCCCCAAACGGGCAGCCCAGCGGTTTGGGGGATGACTCCCACCCCTGGGTGATACCGGCCTCCTCCTTGGAGAGCTGAGACCCTTCCCTGTCTGGCAGGGCAAGAGTCCTGTGGGAGCTCCCAGCCCACCAGGACAAGACCACATGGCATTCCTGCTGGAGGGGTCATTTTGTCACTCACTGGACGCACAGGCACCATGTCTACTGGGCAGGCAGGGCCAGATGTGTGGAGGCTGCTCCACTGTAGCCCCCAGGGTGAACACAGAGTACCTTGTCCTATCCCCAGTCCCCCACTGCCACATGAGCAGGCTGCCCACTACGACCTCAGCTGGGACCAGCAGCTCAACCTTGCCTACGTGGGTGCTGTCCCTCATGGTGGCATCAAGCAAGTCCGGACACATTGGCTGCTGGACCTCATCACAGCCAGGTGGGTGATGCTGGGGCAGGCATACTGGGCTGCTGGCCAGAGCCCACCTTACACAGACACTGAAGAGGTAGGCCTGGTCTTGTGGGCCAGCTGTGGAGGACAGTGCAGGGCAGCGGGGAATGGCATCATGGGGAACAGAGCTGGGGGCTGCTCTGAAGACACATAGCCCTGCAGAGGCATTCCTGTCAGAGCCTCCACTGGGGAAGGCAGGAGGGGGACATCCTGGCTGGTAATGCTGGAAGCCCACTGTGTGCCCAGAGGCCCTGGATCCCTGGAAGGGGCATAGCTGGGTTCGCCCTGGAAGTCACTTTGGAGGTTAGTATCTGGCTGCATTTGCTGCACCTGGTTCTTGTGTGAGGACAGGTGCTCCAGGCTGTGTGGCCATTGGCAGAGCTGTCCGGGGACAGTGCACCTGAGGGCTGGACCAAGGTTGCTCTCCCACCTTGTCCCTGACACTGGACCAGCCATGCAAGTCTTGGCCAGGGGTGAGCACCAGGTGTGAGGAGCACTTGGGTATGGTGGCCTTCCAGAAATAGGCCCTGGTGCCCATGGTCCCTTGTCCAGCTCCTCCCTGTGAGGCAGGGGCTGGGTAGGCCCAGGGATGGGGTGTCCTTTTGACGCCTTGAAGGCCACACCATTTGTGGGAATCTGTTCAAATCAGACAGTGACATAGAGTGTCAGACCGGGCATGGTCTCTCTGAGTTTGGGCCGAGGGACCGTGTGTGTTGCTGGCACCAGGGTGGCAGCCCAGGTTTTAGGCGGAGCGTGTGGGGCTCTCATGTGTGTTCGAGTGCTGCCCTTTCCCTTTTCAGTTGAGGTGCCCTGGCTTCTCCATGGCAGAGGTGGCCCAAGATTGCATCCTTGGGTGACTCTAGCCCTTGGCAGGCTCCTGGAGAAGGAGCTCAGTGATGGCTGATGGGGGGGGGAGTGGATGCCAGAAGACCCTGGCCCTGCTAGAGGGCAGAGTCAGGAACCACGAGCTCCCCACGGCGGGCACGGGCGGCCTCCACAGCGCTGTGCACGCTGGGGAACAGCTGCTCATCCTCGGGGCCCTGGTCCTCACCGAGGAAGCCCCCTCTCTTCAGAGCATCCCTCACCGAGGGGTTGCAACAGGCCAGAAGCAGGGTGACCCCTAGGGCCCAATAATCACGGCGCAGGTCCTTCAGTGTGGCCATGCCAGCCACATCCAGGAACAGCAGTGGGGCACAGTCAATGACCACCGTGTGGAAGCCAGTCACCATGGGCACCAGCCTGGCCCTGCTGGTCACTGAACCCAGGTCCTTGCCATCAACTGGCTCTCCCTCTCCAACCCCCATCTCTGAGCCTGGCTCCCTCCTTGTGGCAGCTGAGCGCCCCGCATCCAGCCCAGTAAGGCTGTAGAGTGACCGCAGGAAGAAGTCCTTGTTGGCATAGTAGAGTGGCCCTGCAAAGCGGAACACCTGCACCCCGGGCTGAGGCACAAGGCCCTCGAACTCCGTGGCATCCTCGTAGAAGGCTGAGTCCCCAATGCGGGCCAGCAGGGCCGCCCGAGGGCGCTGTGTGCGGCCTGCCAGGCTGAGCAGCGAGAGGAGCACCCCAGCGAGCAGCCCGGCCTCAGTGGTGACTAGCACGCAGGTGGCCGCAGTGGCCACCCACACCAGCGCATCTGCTGGGCTCAGCCGCCACAGCCGTGGGAGGCCCCTCACCTTGCGCAGAGCTCCCCGCAGGCTGACGACGATGATGCAGGCCAGCACGCTCCGCTGCAGGTCCCAGAACAGTGGGGCCAGCACCAGCAGCACCAGCAGCACCACAGCAGCACTGACCACACTGGAGAGCTGTGTCCGGCAGCCGGTGGCTGTCTTCACCAGGCTCTTGGAGAGCGCTGCGCTGGTGGCAAAGCAGTGGAAGAAGGCGGGCAGCACGTTGCAGCAGCCCACGGCCAGGAGCTCCTGGTTGGCGCGGACGGAGTAGCCATGGCTACGGGCAAACATCTCCGCCAGCGAGATGGAGAAGGCCGAGCTCACCAGGGCCAGGGACACTGCGTCCAGCGCCACACGCTGCATCAACCTGGGGTCTGGTGCCTGTGGGGCCACAAAGCCAGTGGGGATGTCGCCCGCCACGCTGGAGCCAAAGCGCCTGTGGAGCTGCCCAAAGTGAGAGACCAGGGTGGCCACCACGATGACCAGCAGCTCCGTGGGCAGCGGCACCTTCAGGCGGTGCCGGCAGCGGTCTGAAAGTTCTTTAGCCGCTAGAAGCACTGCCAGGCACACGGCGCTGGTGGCCACGTCACACAGGTTGGCCTGCGCCAGGCTGCGCAGCAGGCTCAGCCACGTGCTGATCACCATGCCTGGGCCCTGGTGCCGGGGCACCCGCACGCCCAGCATGTGCCTGAGCTGCGAGGTCAGGATCGTCACGGAGGCCCCCATGGCAAAGCCGTCGAGCAAGGGCTGAGAGAGGTAGGTGGACACGAAGCCCAACCTAAGGACGCCCATGAGGACCTGTGGACAGAGTGCAGTCAGCACGGAAGGCCCAGGCAGAGACCTCGCTGCCTATCTGCGGCTGGCGCAGCCTGTGACCTGCTGGCTTCCAGAGTGGGACCCTCCTTTGGCCCCTGTGATCTGGACAGGCACACGCCAGCAGACCTGACACACATGGTGTTGCGTGTCAACAGGTGACTGTGGGTGTCATGTCTCACCTGCTGCTACTGGAACTAGACTTGTTCAGGGGTCACGGCTCTGGTGTCAGAAGGCAGCCCCTTCCTTCTGTGTCCTGCCCAGGCACAGCCCGCCCCCTCCCAGGCAGGGAAGGGACCACAGGAGGGACCAGGCAGACAGCCTGGGAAGGGGCAAATGGGGGTGGGGAGGCCATGGGAAGCACCCCCACCCAAGCTCACCTGGGACAGGAGACCCAGGAGGCCGTGGGGCTGCAGCGCAGCTGTCTCAGCTACAGCCAGGCTTGGCCCAGCAGCCCCACTCACGCTGCCGCTGGCCAGGCCAGCTGCTCATGCCCCTCCTGTCTGCATCCACAGCCCCTGGGGTCCTAGGCATGGGTCACCCTGTGTGCCCACCTCTGCCCTTGCCTTGCCTTGCCCTCTAGGAGGCCCTGGCCTCAAGGTGAGGAAACCTCTCTGGTCCTGACCTGTACTCCCCATGGCCTTCCGTGGTGGTGGCAGCAAGCCCCTGAGCAGGAGCAGCTGAACCAGCCAGCCCTGCCTCCCATGCAGCTCCTCACCTGGTAGATGCCAGCCACCAGCGTGAGGGCCGTGGCGACACGGATGGCGTGGCAGTCCCGCCCGCAGCCTGGTGGCCCCAGCACCAGGGAGGTGGTGGAGCTGTTGAGGGTGCTGCTGTTGCCCTGAGGCCCCAGGCCATCCTGGGAGGGGTCGAAGCCAGCCAGCTGGAGCTCGCGGTCCACAACCTGCCCCACCATGAGGCACAGGAGGCTGAAGATGCCCACGTTGACGTGGCGCGAGGTGCCCATGAGGAAGTAGATGAGGTTGGCAAAGAAGGATGTGTACAGGCTGTAGATGGGCTGCAGTCCGGCCAGCAGGGAGTAGGCAATGGCCTGTGGCACCAGGATGATGCCGATGACCAAGCCCGACATGACGTCGCCCGCCAGATCCTCCCGCGGACGGTACTCACGCAGCCAGCGTGTGGCGGGCACCAGGCTCTGCACCAGCGCCCAGGCTCGTGGCACACTGCAGGTGCAGCTCTGCCACAGCCTGGCCTTCAGCCTCTCCAGTAGACCCTTCTGCGCAGGGGGCTGCCGGCGGACTAGCACCAGCCCCCTGCCCTGCTGCAGGGACTCAGGGGCTGCCTCCATCCTGCAGCACCTGGCACCGCTGACCAACCTGCAAGGGAGAGTCGAAGTGGTCAGGGCCTTAGTCCCCTCATGGATCCAGGAGCCAGCGCCCAGCTGGTGCTGCGGGTCCACCGGGCAGAGGGCAGGGGTTGCCTGCCAACAGCAGGCCCTGGATGAAGGGATGCTGGGCCTCAGCTCCCACACCCTGTTTCTGGAGAGATGTGGGCAACAAGCCACGTGCCTCCTGTGAGCCGGATGATCTCGGAAATTACCCAGAGACGTTCTGTCCAGGCTTGCCTGGCCTGTGGGCTCTGCAGTTCCTGCCCGAAATCCACCCCAAAGCATCCTGAAGGTCCTCCCCAAGGGAGAGGGAAAGGGCCTCCACCTGCACACAGAGGCCTCAGGCCCAAGGGTGTCAGCGGCAGATGTGGCTCAGCTGCCCTCGCTACTTCCCTTGGTCCATGGTTTGGTGAAGAGCCCTGCTGTCCACCCCATACTCACACCCAGACCATCACCACTCTACAGTGGACAACACAGAATAGTGGGGCAGAGGGCCTCATGGATGCCAGGGACCCAAATCTGTGCCTCTCCCACCTGTCTCTCCAACAGCCCCCCCAGGGTCAGAGAAAGTGCTTAGAGACCCCACCAGGCCAGCTGGGACCGAGTTGAGGCAGCTGGCATCTGTCTCCCTGCCCAGCCAGCATGCCACTCTGCAAACAGCTGGCCTGGCCATCCCTGCACCTTCTGACCTGCCTGGGTGAGCGAAAGTGCAGGGTGTCAGGGGCGGAGCTTAGAGGCCACACTGACCACAGTTGCGACCTTGGGCCTGTCCTCCTCAGGCTCCAAAGTACCCGTTTTCAAAATCCCCTTCATGGCAATCTTAAGCAAATACTCTCTGGCCCTCAGAGCCCAGGGCACCAAGGCACCTGTGAGGAGCCACTGCTATGGCTGGCCCCGGGCACAGGTGCCTGCAGCCTCTGGGGAGAGTGGGGAGGTGGTCCTAGCCTGGCAGGCCACACGGTCCCCAGCAACAGTGAGAGCAGTGAGCCCTTCCTCCCAAGCCCCTGCCACAGGGGTCTCTGGCATCTCGATGCTCACGCAGAGGTGCCTAGGGCCCAGGAATACAGAACGGGACTGCAAATGCTCCTGTCTTGCCCCCCAGTCTCTCAAGGAAACTGCGGGAGCCAAGCCTCCCTGCTCCTTCCTGGCTGTCCAGTGCCTCTGCCGTGGCAGGTGGTCGGGTGCAGGGATGATTCTTACCTGGCGGTGCCCACAGGCTTGGCGGCCCTCAGAATATGGAGGGGCTGAGGCCTGCTGGCCGGCTGGCCCTCCAAGCCCTCTGGGACGGCGGGTCTGAGGCTGACCTGTGAGAAGCACTGTGTGTGTCGGACCTGCAGTTCAATTATTTACCCCAAAGAGAGCTGAGTCATGGGTTTCGCCCGGCCAGTGCTACCTGAGTGCTAATCCAGTGAGCCAATCCCGAGAGTCAGACTGTAATCGGAGCCTCACACATAATTTTAGTTGTAGGGGCCTCCAGTGACCACCACCTTCTTGGGGGCAGCCACCCTGCTGGGAGGGGTGGGATGAGTGGCTGGAGCAGGGTGCCCAGTGTCTCAGACCTGGCCAGAGGCAAGCACAGCACCCCTGGCGGGTGGGGAGGCAAGGCCCCTGTCCAGTTGCTAGATGTTATCCATTCTGTCGGGAGCCTGGCCTGGTCCAAGCTGGAACAGGGGAGGCACAACAGCCAACTGGGCACAGTGTGACCACGTCCCCAACCTCTGTCCTGGGTCCCTGTGAGGAAACCAGACCCAGGCTGCTGGTGTGTGCACACACGTACTCCTATGAAAGGTGTGCCTCCTGTGAAAGGTGTGCCTTCTTGCCCTTGCCAGAGGGGGTCCTGGGTTGGCCCTGAACCCACCCAGTGTGTGACTGTGGGTGGGCTCCTGGTCCCCATGCAGCTCACCCTCTCCTCTGAAGCAGGGTGGGACCAACAGCACCTGCTTTGTAGGGCTGGTCTGAAGATAAGTGGCCCCTTAGAAGGGATTAAACCAAGTACTCAGGGAGTGGCCCAAAGTGAAGGAACTAAGGTGCGTGGCTGTCTCTACAGTGACTTTTCAGAACCCCAGGCCCCATCTGGATAGGAGTGGGCTTGTGGGGACGTCGCTATGTGTCAGGAGGCTTGGCTCCCTTCTGGGGCTGCGGGGGATAGGTGCTCTTCCATCCTGCAGGGAGGCCCCACAGATTGTGGTAGGCTCCTCCAGTGGGACTGGGAGGTCCACTTGGCCTGGCCTGCTGTGCCTGCGTGGCTCTGGGCCCAGTGAAGCCACCAGCTCGCTCTCTCTTCCCCCAGGAAATTAGGATCAACACATGTCTTGTAAAACCAGCTGGGATCCTGGGCTCCTTCCCGCCAGGAGGAGACAGTAAGATGTTGAGGCGGGGAGCAGAGCCCCAGAGGGAGGCAGCTCCCAACCAGGGCCCACCCTGGAACCTCCTCCTGCAAGCCAAGCTCTGCTTCCTGATGCCATGGGCCTGGCCAGGGAAGACCAGCAGCCCTGTGTGGGGACTAAGTGGGTGTGGAATTAGGTGGGTGGAAGGAAGCCTGAGTGGGAGATGAGGTTAAGCTGGATACCCCACCTTTGTTACCATAGCTCCCACCCATGCCCTCTCCAGATCTGATCCTAGGACCCTGCCCAGGACCCCGCCGTCTCCCCCTGGCTCTGCTGGGCCTCTGCAGGGGCTCGGCCTCCTCCTGGACCCCAGTCCCGAGGGGCCCACTGTTTGCCCAGTGGTTGGGAGTGTGGCCTCCAGTGGGTGTGGTGGGGGTGAATCGCAGCATGCCTTCTGAGGCAGATAAGGGACCCTTCTGCTGTCCAGAAGGCAGCTACTGGGCGTCATAAAACTCTCATCTGCCCAGTTACCCATGGAGGGGCAGTGAAGAACTACCCAGGAGACCACCAGGGCTGAGTCACGTTCCTGGGGTCTCCCTGGAGTTGGCAGGATGGATCCTGGGTCCACAGGGCAAGGTGGGGGGTGTCACCTGGGCAGTACAGAACAGTGTAGGGGCAGTCCCTTCCCCCTCTGTGGTCTGGCTGACAGGTTTCCGGGCTCCCGCCTGCCCTGCCTGGTATGGGTGTCTCCGCAGGGGAGATGCAACTGTGGTGACACCCCCAGGCGAGAGAATAGTAGGACCCTTGGGACTTAGGGCTCCCAGCCCCCAGCCGCGGTTTCTCTGTGTTGAGGTCAGGACCACTCCCCACCCGCAGCGCGCCCATGAGACGTAGGCTCCCTCGCTCTCTGCTGGGCCCACTCAGGGCAGCGACTTGTGGTCCGGCGCCTTCAGTCCGCCGGGACCCCGCTGCACGCCTATCTCGTCCAGTGCGGCCGCGTGATTTCCTTCGTTTTATCCTTTAAGGTGCAGCGGGGTTCAGAAGACCCCAGCCGGGCAGAGATGCGGGTTCTCCCCGCCTCTGAGCTTGGGCGGCCTCTTTCCCACGCCGGGAGCGCGGCCCGGCTCCGCCCCGTTCCCCACCCTCAGGGCGCGCGGCCGCTGCCCACCCTGCGCGTCTCTCCCACGCTGCCATCCCACCCTCAGCGGAGGCGCGGGCGGACGAGCTCCCTGCCCTGACCCCCGCCGCACGCGCGGCCCCGCCCGCTCATCGACCCCCGCTGCATGCACCCCCTGCAGGCCGCCCACCCCTCCACCGTGCGGACGCCCCAGTGCATGCGCGCCCCCGTGCACGCTTCCCCGGCCGTGTCACCTCGCGCACCCGCCTAGCCCACCCGGGCCCGCCCGCCGTCACCCCAGCCGCGAGCACTCACCGCGCCGCAGCGGCTGCGTTCTAGCGGCGCACGCGCTCGGGCCGGGGGCGGGGGCCTGGGGCCCAACGGGCACCAGCGCGGTGAATGGGCCCTTGTGAGGCTTGGCGCGGTGCCGCGGGGCCTGGCGCTGTAGAGGGGCCTCTCGCTTCCTGGCCCCAGCTGGCTATGGCCCTGTGTGCTTTTCGGATCCCGGGTGGACCTCACCATTCGCCGGCCTAGTCCCTTCCTGAGTCTAGGCCTCTGGAATCCTGTCACAGTGGGGGCTGAGGCAGAGGGAGACTGACCCACCGAAAGTGGGGCCACAGGACAGGTCCCTGGGGTTGGGTCTGGGGCAGCCGCTGGGGCCATCTTGGCATCCTGCATCCCTGGCTGCTAGGGCCATTAGATCCTCCGGCCCGTCCCTGGAGTGGGCGCTAGGTGGGGTTATGGCCGCGGAGATCTGCAGAGAAAACGGGAGCGAGCCTGTGACTGTGTCCCCTCATGACCTCCAGGACTTTGGAACCGGTCGCTGTTAGCGACCGCGCATTAATCTTTTATCCAAGTGCTTGTAACGTTTCATTTATTTGCTACTGACTGTGACCCTTGCCTGAGAGCGCTGAGGTGGAGTGGGCGCAGCCTTCGGGGTGTCAGCAGATCCAGCAGAGGGAGCCCCAGGAGCTGGGCCTGTGGACAAGGACTGAGCCCAGGCTCTGCTCCAGGGTGTGCGGGAGGGGGAAGGATATGTGGAACCTGAAGAAGAGGTGCTGTTCCCTCCTGCTGGGCAGGGGTCATCACTAAGCTGTGACTCATCTGTCTGTGGTCAAGCCAGACTGCACTGTCTACCATGGTGACCTCACCTGCCTGCCATCCCATCCCAGACAAATCAGAGCTGTCTTGTAGGCCCTCTGGGGGCACATGTCCTTGGACCTGGACCCTAACCCTAACCCTTGGACCTTGGCTAGAGGGCTGCAGTGGACTCCCAGTGGGAGGACTAGTGCCTGGGTTGGGCAGTGGCAGACCTTGGCTGGCTCTCCTAACTCTTTACTGAGCAGCCCTCAGCTGGCCCCAGACCCCTGAGCACCAGCACCCTTACCTAGCCCCCCCCAGGCGGCCAGTTTTCCACCACCAAACCCAGACCAGTTTCCTGTAGGCTCACCCTGCTCCTCCAAGCTGCTGTTAGAAACCTCACCCCACCCACTCCCTGGAAGCCCATCTGCTCTAGCCCCTCCCCATGGCCTTCCAAGCCACTGCCCAGCTGGGCACCCCTCCTCTTTCTGGGAGCCCCTGCAGCCCTCTAGCCAGTCTCTGGCTCCTGCTCTGACTCCAGTTCACTGCCACAGGGACCCTTCCAAAATGTCCCTGTGATGCTCTGCTCAGAACTCTGCAAGGGCTCCTACTTCAGTCCGTCAATGTCCCATCCTCACATGGGCACAAGACCCCCCAAAACACACCTTGTTCATTCTGCCTGAGCCCCTACCATGAGCTCACACCTACCTCAGGACCTTTGCATGTGTGTACATCACTGGCGTGTCCTGTCACCTGGCAGGCCTTTGGTGTTACTCTGAGAGGTCCTCTCTCTTGACCCTTTGCCCCCTTTGCTCCCACTCCTGTCACATCCCTTCCAACAAACATCTGATGGCCTATTAAAGATCCACATGGTTGTCTGATGATACCCGTCCCTCTTGAACCTGAGCCCTGTGGGAATTCGTTTGGACTGAGGGTGTGGGGAGATCCTCCACCTTCCTGACCTGCCCGTTCAGTTGCTTCTTGGGAGGATGGGAGGATGGTGAGGGTGCCAAATGTGGGGCCCTTGCCTCCAGGAGGTGCCGAGAACCAGGTTCTGCCTGGCACTGTACCAGTCCTCTGCTCCAGGCCAGCCATCCTCAGGACGCCCCCCCCCCAGTCCTGTTGTGTGGCTCCTGCCCGGCTTCCTGCCCCTCCACCCCAGGCTCCCATTTCTGAAAGGCCTGGACACATGAGGACACTGGTTGGTACCAGGCTGTGGGTGACTGACAGGCTTCCACAGTGTTGGTGTTCCAGAGGGACGGGCATGGGCACCCTGGAGCCACGTTCAGCCTGGCACCTTATCGTTCCCTCCCTGCCTGGGAGCAGCAGTGGTTCCAGCCCAGGGCTGCCAGATGCATGGCTGTCCGCAGCACCTCCTCTCCTTCAGCAAGGGGTCGGCCGGACAGGGCCTGAGCTACAACTTCACCCACCTGGACGGGTATCTGGACCTCCTCCAAGAGAACCAGCTGCTCCCCGGTGAGCAGGGACAAGCCCCCTGCAGACACCCTGGGTCCTCCCGGCAGTGGTGGCCTGGGCTGCCTTGGGCCTGGGTGGGCTGCTGGAGCTGTGCAGGCAGTGGGGCAGCTGCCTGCTGTGTCTCAGGCTTTGAGCTGATGGGAAGCCCTTCAGGACGCTTCAATGACTTTGAGGACAAGCTGCAGGTGGTGAAGTGGAGGGACCTGGTCTCTCTCCTGGCCAGGAGATACATAGGTGTGTGGGAGGGCATGCCCTGGGGCCCTGAGGCTCTCCTTCCCCTTCACCCAGGCCCCCTCCTGTCACGGCTCCTGGGCTTCCTGGGGTGGGGGCTCACCTTCAGCCGCTCCAGATCTCCAGTCCTGGGGACCCCTGGGAGGCGGGTGGCACTCACGCTCTCTGGATGGAGGTGGACACTCTGCAGGTAGGTACGGACTAGCGCAGGTTTCTAAGTGGAACTTCGAGACATGGAATGAGCCAGACCACAAGGATTTTGACAACGTGTCCATGACCACTCAAGGTGTGTGGCTTGCTGCGGTCCTACCATGTGGGGAGGGCTTGAGGGGGGCCCTGTGCCCACAGACCCTCCTGACCCCTGGACCCACGGGCTGCAGGCTTCCTGAACTACTATGATGCCTGCTCTGAGGGTCTGAGGGCTGCCAGCCCTGCCCTACGGCTGGGTGGCCCCGGCGACTCCTTCCACCCGCCCCCGCGGTCCCCGCTCTGCTGGAGCCTCCTGGGGCACTGTGCCAACGGCACCAACTTCTTCACTGGCGAGGTGGGCGTGCGTCTGGACTACATCTCCCTGCACAAGAAGGTGTGTGCTGTGCCCAGCCCCGCTCAGCCAGGCTCGCCGGCTGCGGTGCTGAGGCCGGTGCTGCCGTAGGGCAACGGCAGCTCCATCGGCATCCTGGAGCAGGAGGTGGCCACCGTGCAGCAGATCCAGCAGCTCTTCCCCACGTTCAAGGACACCCCCATCTACAACGACGAGGCAGACCCGCTGGTGGGCTGGTCACAGCCACAGCCGTGGAGGGCCGACGTGACCTACGCAGCCATGGTGGTGAAGGTGGGCCCACCCTGTAGCTGCTGAGTCCACCAGGCCAGCCAGCTGAGCTTCCAGGGTGGGGTGAGCAGGTGGCCCCCCACGACCCTGCTGTCCTGGGCCCCCGCAGGTCATCGCCCAGCACCAGAACCTGCTGGTGGCCAACGCCAGCTCCCCAGTCCACTATGCTCTCCTGAGCAATGACAACGCCTTCCTGAGCTACCACCCGCACCCCTTCTCCCAGCGCACGCTGACTGCCCGCTTCCAGGTGAACAACACCCGCCCCCCCCACGTGCAGCTGCTGCGCAAGCCAGTTCTCACAGCCATGGGGCTGCTGGCCCTGCTGGGTAAGCTCTCCTTGTTGCTCCTGTGTGTGTTCGCTCAGACTGCAAACAGGCCTGCCCCCTGGCATGTTCCCTCTGAGATGGGTAAGGCCAGAGAAGGCCCTGAGCCCCTGACCCAGGCTTTACCTAGTTAGGGTATCTTCCAGGGCCAGGAGTGTCCTGTACAAAGGCCCTGAGGCACGGGAAGCACACTTCCTGCTGTGCCTATGTCTTGGGGCTTAGTCCTCCTAGATTTCTGCCCCCATCCCCTCTGGTTCTATGGCCGAGAGGTGTGAGGACAGCAAGAGGAGGAGCACGTGGTGGGAAGGCAGGTGGAGGGGCAGCTACCCCACATGGTGACAGCCCCACACCCCCACCGTGGGCCCTGTAGATGGAGAGCAGCTCTGGGCAGAGGTGTCCCGACACAGGGTGGTGCTGGACAGCAACCACACAGTGGGCGTCCTGGCCAGTGCCCACCACCCTAAGGGCCCCACTGACGCCTGGCGTGCCACCATGCTGGTCTACGCAAGCGATGACACCCGCGCCCACCCCAACCGCAGCATCCGCATGACACTGCGCTTGTACGGGGTTCCTCCCCGCCCAGGTGAGCGGTGCCCAGGGAGGGCAGGCTGGAGGGGGCGGGGCAGGTGAGATGAGCCCCAGCATCCCACCCCACAGGGCTCCTCTACGTCACATACCACGTGGACAACCGTCTCTGCAGCCCCCACAGCGAGTGGCAGCGCATGGGCCGGCCCGTCTTCCCCTCCGCGGAGCAGTTCCGCCGCATGCGCTTAGCTGAGGTTTGTGGGCCCTGGGTGTCGCCGAGACCTGTGGTCAGGGGGGCTTCTCTCACCTGGGCCCCTCTGTTGTCCCCAGGACCCTGTGGTTGCAGAGCCGCGCCCCTTCCCGGTCGGCGGCAGCCTGACACTGCATCCTGAGCTTGCGCTGCCTTCGCTCCTTCTGGTGCACGTGTGTGCGCGCCCCGAGAAGCCTCCTGGCCAGGCAAGTGACACCCGTGCCCCCCGCCAGCAGCTGCCCACTCCCTCCACACCCTGCCATAGCCCCTCTCTCCCCGCAGGTCACCCGCCTCCGTGTCCTGCCCTTGACCCGAGGGCAGCTGGCTCTGGTCTGGTCGGATGAGCGCGTGGGCTCCAAGTGCGTGACTGGGGCCACTGCCCCTCCTCAGGGTTGCCCTGCAGAGGCCCACCTGGTCTTCCCCCTGCAGAGCTCCCAATGCCCTCCGCAAGGCAGACCCAAAGGCCTGTCCTCTGCCCTTCAACGGCCCCATCGCACATGCGCTCCCCTGCACACAGCCACCCTGGACCGCTCACCTGTCTTGGAGAGCTGGCTGGGCCCCTGCAGGGGACACTGAGAGCCATAGCTGGGCCGTTGTCCTCTCCCCTCAGCTACTGTGGCCTGTCCCTGTAGGAAGAATGCCCAGGGCTGCTGGACTGGGGAGATGCCAGTAAGGGGCTGGAGGGCTGTGGACACACCCTACCCTGCCCCCTCAGACCTCAGGGGCCACCCTGACCCCAACCTCCCCAGGTGCCTGTGGACTTATGAGATCCAGTTCTCCCTGGATGGTGAGGTGTACACCCCAGTCAGCAGGAGGCCATCCACTTTTAACCTCTTTGTGTTCAGCCCAGGTACACCTAACGCCCACTGCCCTGGGTTTCAGCACACCACTGGGTGCGGTGGGGCAGGGGGTTTTGGGGAGTCTGGGTGGGTTCAGGTGGACACATGCTCAATAACACATGTACCTTTGTGTCTGCAGAGACAGCTGTTGTTTCTGGCTCCTACCGCGTGCGAGCACTGGACTACTGGGCCCGGCCGGGCCCCTTCTCCGACCCCGTACCATACCTGGAGGTCCCTGCCTCATGAGGGACCCATGAGCCTGGTGAACTGCTGGCTGGTCATAGGGTGCCAGCTCCTTTTGTCTCCCACCTCACAGTTTAAAGAGCCTTTCTACCTCACAGTGTTGGGTCAGCTTCTGGACGGACACTGGGTCAAGTGGGGACTGGCACCAGGGAAAGAGGACAGGGCTGGTGGAGAGCAGGTGGAGCCTGGCCTTTGCCTGCCTCCTCCCAACAAGGACCCCACCCCGCAGGTGGAGCTGCTGGTGAGGGCTACCAGGTGGAGATGCCTGTCCTGCCCACCAGGGGTCCCTGGTGTCCCCCTGGCAAGGAGCCCCCACTCCTGCTCCCAGCATTCCTCCTCATTCTGCAGAATGGGGCACTGAGGCTACTCCAAGGAGGAGCATCTGCAGGGCACCATGGTGGAGGGTGGGACAGGGCATCCCTGTCCATGCCAGACTGTGGTCAGCAGCAGGAAAGACTGCTGTCTCCACCTCCCCAGGAAGAAACGAGTGAGGACACTCACTTTGCAGAGATGCAGGTGGGGGCAGCTGCCGAGCAGAGGGGCACCAGCAGGTCCAGACAGAAGGCTGCAAAGACAGGCCACTGTCCAGGAGCAGCGAGCTCCACTGAGGGACGTGGCCCCGCCCCTCCCCAGTGCCCACTATGGCTGTCTTTGGCTAAGAGAGCTGTCTTCAGTGGAGGACAGAGGCGTGGGAGCCAGCATGTCTTCTGGGGTTGTCCTGCAGCTAAGTGCAGAGCTCGCGTCCAGGCTGATGGGGGGCTCAGCAGTGCTCTTTCCCCAGCCAGGTGCCCTGGCCAGCCATGCCTGGGGTCGCTGTGTCCCCACCCTCCAGCCTTCTTGACATGTCGCCTTTGGCCCTGGCTTTTGGGGCTCAGGCTTCAAGCTATGCCAAGAGCCAGGGGTGTCCATGCTGTCCCTGTTACCATGGCCACTGCATCTAGGCAGAAGCCTAGTATCTGACACTATGTTTGTGAGGGTCACAGCGGAGTGGATGCCCTGGGACAAATGTGGGCATTTCTGAGGGCACAGGCCCTTGCCCGTCCTGGCAGCCCACGCACTGTCTCCCCAGGCCTGCCAGTGCCCAGCCTCCTTCCTCTCTGGGTCTGGCCAACAGTCAGCCTTTTGGATGCTGCTGTTGGAGAGCCAAACTTGGGTGGGGTGTGCCCTTTCCCAGGGCCAGGCCCAGTGGGCTAGGACACAGCCTCTGTCCCCTTCTGGGTGGCCTGCTGGACACAGCGCTGTAAGCCACTTCTGCACGTGTGCCTTCCCTCCCGCAGCAGTGGGAGGGCATGTGAAGCCCAGGCTTCTTGTGGGAGAGGCGGGGTTTAGAGTGTCCACAGGCTCCACCTGCCCACGTGTGGCACATCACAGTGCACATGCGTGCCCTTGGCTCGTGCTGCCCTTTGGGCCAAGTGGAGACTGGTGTTGGGGCTTCACCAGGGCTCAGTGGTGAATCCAGAGCTGCTTTCCAGGGGGACTTCGTGGGGCAGGAGGAAGTAGCCTGCACTAGGAGGTAGGGTCTGGATTGCTGGCAGTTCTGTCTGCTGGCTGGGTTGGCCTGAGGGCCACCTGTCCAGCAGTGTCGCAGGCTAGGCCGTGGAGCCTTTTCCTGCCAGCATTACCTGTTGTCCAGGAGGTGGTGAGGGTGGGATGTGAAACTAGGTACACAGGGGCACCCAGAACCAGAGCCCCCTTGGGCCTTGCCTCTGAGAGGTGGAGCGAGGCACAGGGACGTCTAAGTAGGCTATCCTGGACTCCCCTGAGCTCCCACGCTGTGGGACGCACACGTTCCTGAGGCAGGGAGGGTGTGTGCAGTCTCCTGCCCCAGGTCCAGCCAGCATCGCCCTGACCCGGTTGGGTGCACTGTGGCAGGAGAGTGGCACAGAGGCTCCTGCTAGGCAAGGACAGAGGAGCATCTGCCTGTGACAGCTGCAGGCCAGGGCCAGGTCCTTAGGTGCTGCGATCCTCCAGTCTTCAACCACCGCCCGGCCAGTTGGGGCCCACTGGAGGCCCCACTCTGCCTCCTGAACAAGCGCAGGCCCGGCCAGAGTGTCCACAAGCCCACAGCCTCCACACAGGCCCACAGGGCTGCTGCAGATGCCCTGCCCCACTCTGAGCCCTGAGTTACATGGTCTCTGGGAGGGGACTGGAGTGGTTCAGAGCCCTGTCTTCCAGGCAGTCACTACTATACCGTGGCTTAAGCCAGAGACTACTTCCAGGTCCTCTTCGGGGACCCGCCCCTCCACCCGGCTCCAGGTACAGGGATCTGCTCAGGTGGGAGGCCTCGGAGCCATGGGGGCATCAGGGTCCCAGCATTACCAGCTGCCGTCAGTCATTCTAGGGACCTCTCATGTCTCCCGTGGTCTCCAAGCCACAGGGCCCTGAAGGCATATCACTCTGGAAGTGCTGGTGTCCTGTTCAAGTCAGGAGGACGCGGCCCTGAGGAGCAGGACTCTGGCCTCCTGCCCCTTGCTGTTCCAGGTGCTCAGGTCAGCACAGGCCGGAGGCCCGTACTGCTCAGGTGGCGAGGCGGTGGCCCTCCACCTGCAGAGCCCCAAGGCCTGGCACCTACTCCCTTTCTATAACCCTCTCTCCTGGCCTTACTGGGGGCAGAGGAGGGACGGCACCCTCCTCAGGTGGCTGCCTGGGGACAGACAAGCTCTCTCCTGGGGCTGCCCCCCTTTCCCTGAAGGTGAGCAGGTCCAGCCTTAAGCTGGGTGTCCACCTGGCAGCGCAGATGGCCCTGGAGCCCCAGTCTTCAGCTGCCCCTTCCCACTCCACTTCTTCTTTCTTGGGGAGTCCTCCCGTTGCCAGGGCAACCATCCCTCTACCTGCACTTCCTCCAGCACCACTGATAACTGAGGCTGGTCCCCTGCAGGGTGGCCCTGGCCTCACACCCAGAGCCACCTGGCCTGAGAGCCCCCTTCATAGGTCCTGGGTTGCTCGAGATTCCAGGCCCAGCTAGGCGGAGAGGGCCAGGGAGGAGCTAAGCTGGCCTGGAGCAGCCTGGGCGTGGGTGTGCCCACCTCCCTGCATGGCTCACCAGGACTGGCTGGGACTGTGGGTGGGGTCTCACTCTGGCATGGCAGTCCTGCAGGGCTGCCCTAGAGGGAACACCCTGCCAGGGCTGCGGAGGCCTGGGTGCAGCCCCAGGTCTGCATCTCGTCCTTCTCCTTGGCCCTCAGCCAGGGCCACCAGGACCAGGCCTGCGCTGCCCTCTCAGGGTGACCCCAGGCAGCCCAGCCCCAGGTTGGAGCTTCCTTGCACCTTCTGTTGGGGCGTCCCACCTGGTGGACACCTGGAGGATATTCCCAGAGACCCCACAGGGCCCAGGTGGGCAGTGCACACCCCCCTGCAGCAGCCCAGGTGGGGAAGGCAACAGCAGGAGTGGTGGGCAGCACTGGACCTGTGCCTGGGGGCCTCTGGCTGCCCATTCCTTTGTGGCACGTAGTACGTAGCCTGGAGGATTCACTATCCTAAAGCTGAACACCAAGGCCCCAGGAGCAGGGCCTGTGGGGTCACAGAGGCTTGTGGATGGGCCTCGACCACCTGGGCTGCTGAATGGGGGTGTGCATTCCCCAGACAACAGAAACACTCTAGGCAGCACCCTTGCCAATGGCCATGGTGGGAATAGGCCTGGGCAGGCCAGGAGTCTCCATGTGGGAGACCTGAAAGATGTACCACCCGTCAGTCCCCAAGCCAGTGTCCTCTCTGGTGTCAGGCAGAGATTCAGCTCAGGCCAGGGTACATGTCTTCTGGGGCTTGGGGCTGAGCTCAGAGCTGGTAGGGTCTGTTCAACCTGCTGTCCTGTCCAGTAGCCTAGAACACACCCTGACCAGTCGTGAGGCAGGTCTGGTGTCACACACACAGCCCTGTGGGTAAGACTGACCAGAGAGTCCTGTCCTGGGCAGCCAGGCTGCCAACACAGAGCAGCAGAGACTCGTGGCTTCAGAGACGGGCATCAACCACCCCCAGCTGTGGAGGCTGGACAGCCGGCTGAGGAAGCAATATTGGGCCCTGCAAGGCCCACCTCGCGGCCTGTGGATGGTGCCCCGTCCCTCTTCATGTCTCTTCCTCTTCTCATCCCACGGGGGCTAGGGCTCGGCACAGAAGCTGGGGGACACAGACTCTCAGCCACAACGGGGCTCTGGGACAGGGCTCTGAAGCGCTAGGCCTCTGACGGGGGCTGCTTGGCACACTGGCTCGGGGCACAGAGGCACCCTCATGGGTCCCGCCTTGATCCAGATGACTTTCCCATCACCCCAAAGTTGTCTTAGGCCATTCCATCCTCCTGCCTCACCCTTTCACCCCTCCCCATTTCCACAACCTCTGGCCCCTTTCTGTCACCAGAGATCAATGCACCTTTAGTGTCTGGGTGCAGCGGCCCCACTGTGGTCCCCACTCCTCAGGAGGCTGAGGCAGGAGGAGCATTAGAACCCAGGAGTTAGCAGCCTTCTCCTGTGAGTTGGCTGCCATGCAGCCACACGGTCCTCGCTGTGGTCTGAGTTCCGCAGACCCACCCCCCAGTCGGCGAGAGTGCCGTGGGTGGGAGCCACATGTCTGCCTTCTCCTGCTGACACCTTGGGTTGTCTCTGGCTAGGGCACGACATGGGCAGTGGCCCTGGACGTGGGTGCCCGTCGTGTGGCCCTGCACCTTAGATTCTGGGTGGTGAATGCCGGGTGAAAGGGTTGGGTCACTCCACTGAACATGCAGACTCCCGTGCTCCCCAGCTACGCCTGGGAGTCGCTTGCTGCTGTCCCTGAGGGGTGCCGTGTGAGGGTCTAGCGCCCTGACTTGCGAGAGCTCATGAGTTCTATTGGCTTCCTTTAGATTCCATGACGTTCTCTGCACAGTTGGCCTTGGCATTTACAAATCAGGGTCATTGCCTGCCCCTCTCCACATGGGTCATGTTTTCCCTTGCCCTTACTGCACTGGCCAGGAACAGACACCATGGTTGCGGATGTCAGTGGGAAGGGCCAATATTTACTCTCCCACGTGATGTTGGATGTATTTTTAATCTTCTTTCTGGCAGATACCTTTTTCCAGGTTGAGGAAGTGTTGTGTCTTTTTATTCCTTACTGTAACACTGAGATCCCTGTTCCAACCTTCCTGTCCGTCGATGTGGCCAGCGGTGCTAGTGGGTTTTCATAATTAAGCCAATGCTACAGCCCTGGACACCCGCGCCCCCCCCCCCCCATCACCATGCAGTGTTCCTTTTCATATTGTTGCATTTGACTAATTGCAATAAAACATTGCATGCACCGGTTCATGACAGATGTCATTCTGTTGTCATTGGGTTTGGCGTCTGCACTGCTGCCCAGGAGCCAGCAGTGGCCCTGCTCTTCCTTTGCTGAGCTGCTGTTGGCTCCTTGAGTGTTTGCTGGGCTCTCAGTAGAGTTGGCTGGGCTTCCTGCTTTCTTCAAGCAAAAGTTCAGAATATTTAATAGCTATGCGGCTGTTCCGGCTCTGGAGCTTCTGAGTGCGCTCTGGTCTTCCTGTCTTCCAGGATGGGTGGCATTTCTTCTAGTTGCCACAGCTGTTGGCTATGGTATGCACATCTGTATCACCCTCTGTGTGTCCAGACTCTGGGAATGCTGCCTCTTGGGTTCCAGTGTGAATCCGTCTTGTTCCTTTTCATTCCAGGTTTGATTCCATGGCGTTCTCTGCACAGTTGGCCTTGGCATTTACAAATCAGGGTCATTGCCTGCTCCTCTCTGGAAATTCTCTCTGCTTTGGCTGCTCTTGATTGTAAGAGATCTGTCAGTTTTATCATCTTTCCAAAGAGTCAGTTTTGCTATCACTGATTTCTCCAAAGCTTCTCTGCTCTCTGCTTTGTTGACCTTGACCACAACTTTATGGGCTCCCGGCTCCTGCTCGGTGGCTGTGCCATTTGCTCCCATGGTCCTCTTGTCTTGGGATGGAGCTAAGCCACTGGTTTGGAGCCTGTCTTTTTTACACTCCACACTGAGTGCTGTGAGCATCCACTCACTACATGGAGCACTGCCCTCAGTTTTTGGTATGTTATCCTTTCCTTCCACTTTGGTCTGATTTGGTTTTTCAGCAAGGGACCGGGGCCTCAGGTGTGCTGGGCCAGCACTCTGCCATGAGCCACACCCGGCCCTTCTGTGCTGATTTCTAACAGAATTTCACTGGGGCCACAGAACACGCGTGGAATGACTCAAATCATTTTAAATATACTGAGGCTGTGCCCAGAAAATGGTGGTGGCCAAGGAGCTCAGCTGTTGCTTGTTTCTTCTATGTCCCCATCCTGTCCACCTGCTGATCAGGTACTGCAAGGGTACTGTCCAGTACTCTGCTCAGTCCTACCAGTTTCTCTTCTGTGGTGTTTGCCTACCGTCTCTGCAAATGCTCTCTTCTCTGGCTGCCCTCGATTTCTTCTGCCTGGTGTTAACATGGTATATCTTTCCACCCACTTTCATCTTACCTATTTTGTATTGTAGTGTGTTTTTTCTAGGCAGCATCTGTCTGTGTCTTGCTTTTGTACCCAATCTGACAACCTCCACCTTTTAATTTGAATGTTTAGACTATTCACGTTTACCCTGAATGTATGTGCGCCTAACAGTTTTCTCACCTTGCTGTCTTTTATCCTGATTATTCATTGGTTCTTTCTCCCTCTTTTCCTGCCTTCTTTTGGATTAATGTTTTAATTACTTTGTTTCCTTTCTTGCCCCATTAGCTGAAATTCTTTGTTATTTTAATGCTTTAGGGTATAAAACAGCTTTTGTTTTTGAGATAGGGTCTCACTGTGTGGCTGGCCTCAATTCCTGGATAACCCACCCTCCTGCCTCAGCCTGCCGAGCAGCTGGACCACAGGCCTGCACCCCCACGCCTGGCCTCCTGCAGCATACCCATGTGCGGTGGTCGAGGGTCGTGGTGTTCCTAGCCTCACAGGCACTTCTTCTCTATCTCTTCCCAGCCTCTTTCTGCTTTTAGTCTATGTTGGAGGTTTTCATGTGGCTTAAGCCCCTCAATGCCCGTGTTACTTTTGCGTTAAACAGCTGTCTCTACAGAGACTCAATCAGGCCATGCTCTCCAGGACTGGTGTAGTCTCTGTTTCCAGGCCTCCTCAAGTCGTGCAGATTCAGGTGCCATCTGGCATTACCTTCTTCTCCTGAAGGACGTCTTTAGCCTTCCTTGCTGCAGATCTGCTGGGGATGGATTCTTTCAGCTTCAGATGTCTGAAAAAGTCCTGGCTTCACCTTTGTTTTTAAAAGGCATCTTTGCTGGCCAGGCACGCTGGCTTGGCAGGTTTCTTTTCTGGGTGCTGAAGATGCAGGCGTCTCCTTGCCCGGGTTATTTGCAGGAGCATCTTTTGCCAGTCTGCACGAAAGGCACCTCTCCTCAGAGCTGCTTTTGCGCTCTCCGCTGGGCTGGTTCTCCGCATCCTGATACTGATGTTACTTGACTTCTTCTGCACTCAGGTCTGGTCAGCCTTTCTTGGTTGTCGGTTTGTTTTTCAATCATCACCTTTGGGGAAATTCTGGCCATTTTTTTCAGAGGATTTCTTCTTTCCCCACCTCTCTACCTTCTCCTGTGGGGACCTGGTTCTGCCTGTGCTGGGAGTTCCGCAGCTGGCGATGCCCGCTCTCCCCAGCTGCTTCTGCCTCACTGGACGGGCTCTGTCGCAGGCAGGTGTGGCGAGCCTGGCTTTCACAGCCTGCCATCAGTCCCATCTGTCTTATTTATCAGAGGCACTTCGTTTCCACTTGTGGAAATTCACTTTGAAGCTTCACGCTCTTGTCTGTCTCTGCATCCCCTCGAGTCTCTCCTGCAGCATTACAAACAGAAAGCAGTCTCAGGATGCATGTGATGTGCTCACCTGGTCTATCCTCTGCCTGTCAACTCTGGTCAATTTGGCTTGAGCTCCCCCTAATATGGGTTGATTTCCTGCTTATCTCCACGTCTGATTGTCTTTACGGGGCACTTAGCATGTACTGGATATTTTCTGGATTCCTGGATCCTGTGTGTGTTTCTGGGGTTGGACTGAGTTACATGCAACTGTGTGACCCTTCCCAGCTTGTGTTTGAGCCTCCTTTGGAGGCACAAACTCTGTGGTCCAGGGTGATTCTCCCTGCTGTGAGGCAAGACCTTCTCCCTACTCTTGAGTCTGGAGTCCCCAGGTGCCCTCTGGCACCACAGCCCTCCCTCCTCCCCAAGGGCTTCTCTCCCAGCCTAGGTGTTTCTTCCGGCTCCTGCTGTCCTCAGGAGCCTCCCTCCCCTGAGTGGCCCTGGGGGTTGGCCTTTTGCTCTCCACCTGCCACCCATCTGGGCTCTGCTAGTTGAGCAGGGTAGGGGCAGGCAGTCTTGATTTCCCTTCTCTCCTGGGCCACTGTCCTTTGCTGCCAAAGACCCATGTCTGGAGCAGCTTTCACATTTTTTCCAGAGGACAGTGGTGTGATCTGATCCCTGATGCTTCTCATTCTCTCCAAGCTCTTTGGCCCTCTGCGCTTTTCTCACCAGCCCCTACAACTGCTAAGAGGCCACCCCCTCAGGGGTTTGGCCCTCCACTTGCCTGGCGCAGAGCCAGGGCCCAGCACGTTCCTGTAGAATGAGGGTCACATGAGGAGCGAATTAAGATTTATGGGGCTTACCTGCGCAGACAGGTGGGAGCCAGAAACTCACGCAAGCCACTCAGTAAAGCAATGGGGTCGGATCGCGACCCGGCGCCAGGCCAGGGAGTAGGTTTCACTTTTAAAGGGGCAGGGTTTGCACAGGCCACGCAGGTTCCCTGTTCCGGGCCCAGTAACGACACGTCGCGGGAGGTGGCAGCGCGCGCAGCTCCTGGCTCCGGCGCCCAGGGCTCAGGAGCCCTCGGCTGGGTCGGACCCTGCGCGGGCTGCCGACTCAGACGTGGCGGGGCGGGGCCGCCGAATCCCCGGGAGCCGCCGCGCCCCGCCTCTCCGCCAGAGGGCAGCGGGTCCCCGCGCCGCCAGAGCCCAGCGCCGGCAGGGCGGGGCGGGGCGGAAGGGAAGGGGAGGGGAGGGGAGGGGAGGGGAGGGGAAGGGCAGGGTTGGGGGAAGCCGGGCGGCCGGGAGCCGGAGACACTCGGGGTGGGAGCGCTGGTGCTGGGGAAAGGTTGGGTAGGGGCCGGAGGTGGCAGCGGGAGGCAGGCGAAGGGGCTGGAGGAGCAGGGGGCGGGTGAGGGGTAAGGGTCAGGGGATGGGACTGGGAGGAACGGCGCGGAGGTGGGGTAGTGGGCGGGAGAAGCGGGCCGTGAGCAACGCCAGGGGGACAGAAGACTGGGCGCAGGCGCACTTGTTCCCACACATGCTGTGGTAGCTGCACCTGTCCATGATCCCTCCCCACTGCTCACCTCTCCCGCCCTTCTGGGCCACCTCCTCCTTCTGACCTCCCCGCACTTCACAGCCAACTTTAGGAACACCTGGCCTTAGCAGCTGCACACCTGTTGGAGCTCTTCACAAACCTGCCTGTGAAGTCTAGCCCTACCCCATGCTAGCCCAGACCTCTCCACTCACCTGCCCATTTCGTCCTGGAACACCTGTCTGTGAGACCTAGCCTCAGCCCAGCAGTCCTCAGGTGCCCCAGAGGCAGGGTCTGTGGACTGCTTCTGAGATAGGGCCCTCGGGTGCCAGTCTGGCTTCCTACATGCCTGGGAGGACTGCCCCATGGGCACCTAGACCTTAACCCAGGGTGCCATAGGCTTGCCTCCACCCACCTACCACTTGCCAAACTGGCCCAGAGATAGGATTCTGGGTGAGGACAATGGCCTCCTGGGCCTTCCCCAGCTCAGTCTTCCCTGGAAGGCTTCCTGGAAGAGGGGACCTCTGAGCCCAGAGAGGCGAGGCTGGGTTCTCAGGGAAGAGCAGCAGGCAGAGGTCCCTGGAGCATGGAGAAGGCCCTTGGCAGAGGGTGATTTGGTCAGAGTGGAGGAACAGGAGACATTGTGTGGGTAGGCCCCAGGCTCCCAGGCCCTCAGAGAGGTGATGGGCTTGTGTTGAGGAAGCCAGGAAACACCTTGTAAAGTCTTCATTGTGACAAGGTAATGAGAGGAGACACCATAGGGAGTTAGCCTGAGAGGCCAGAGAGAATTTAAGGGGTGGGTAAGGGAGTCCCTGTTGGAGGGAGGTGGGGAGGCTGTGGAGGCAGTGAGTGCCTGTGCTGAGTAGGTGCAGCGGAGTGGCTTGAGTCTGCGCCGTGTCAAGTCGTGGGTAACTTACCTGTCCTCTCTGAGGCTGTTTCTTCATGGGTACCAGGGGACACCAAGACACCTGCCTGGTGGAGAGGACAAAAGAGAGTGTCTCTCACCTCTTCCTCCCATTTATCATTGTTCTTGTCCTTGTGATCACTATCTTTAGTTGGTGAATGGCAGGGAAGCCTCCAGGGGGCTGTGGGACCCTACCTGCCCTGGTAAGGGCACTAGGTAAAGCCAGGCATCTGGGGGAGGACCTCTTTGACCTGCATCACCCGAGACTTGTCAGCCCCGTCCCATCCAAGAGTAGTTTGAGGACACTTCGCCTCCCAACACTCCCCAGGTCGCGAACTTCCAGACCCGGGAGCTCCGTGTGGCTGTCCAGATCGCCTCCTCCCGGGCTGAGGATCGCCGGGACTGGAAATGGAGCGGCAAGGGCCAGCTCCCGGACAGAGGGAACTCGGACCCGGGCGCGGGTCGGTGCGGTGTGGGGTGGGCGCCGCAGCCCTGGGCAGCTCTGGTGGCGCTCAAGGCCGCGCGGGGGAGCTGGGGGCGTGATAGGCTCAGCGGGGCGCTCCCCAGGGCGCTCCCTGGGGAGCCTCCTGCCCGCACCGCGAGGGTTAAGCCTGTAGCCCAGCGAGCGCGCTAGCGGATTGGAGCAAAGTTGCGGGGTGGGGCGGGGCGCGGGGCGGGGCGGAGCGCGTGGATTGGCTGGAAGTTGTGCGGGGCGGGGCGCGCGGCGGGCTCGGCGCTCGCTCCGGGAGAGTTGACAAAGCCCCGCAGGGAAGGACGCCTCGCGGCGCGGCGCCCCGGGCCCCTCGCCCCGCCGCCCCACGTCCTAGCCCGCCGCCTGCCGACCCGGACGGCACACCCCGCGCCCCAGCCCGGCCCCGGCCCGAGTCACCCGCGCCCAGGTAGCGCCTCCCCGCCCCAGGCCGGGCCCGGGGGCGCGGGGGGCGGGATGCAGCGCCCGGGGCGGCGATGACCGTGGCGCGCTGTCCGCGGGCCCGGCCCTGACCCGCTGCCCGCCGCGCGCTCGCCCTACCGCCAAGCCACGCCGAGGTGAGCCCTGCCGCGTGCCGGGGACCCCGGGTGGGCGTGCTGGGAGGGGCGGGGTGCGGGCAGGGACAGGCGGTGGTGATCTGGGGGCCGGGCGGGGGCCGGGCCGCGGCCCTGCCCTGAGCCCCGCCCCCCCAAACCCCACTTGGGCCCCCCAGCGCAAATTTGTCCGCTAATGGCGCAGGCGATTATCTGCGGGGCCCTCGGTGTTGTGTGTCCCGCGGGCAGGGCCCAGTTACAAGCGCCAGGAATCCAGACGGTGTTTGGAGAGGGGGCGGCGGGGGCGGCCGGTAATTAGTGTAAACCCTTTGTCTGCCTTTGATACGCACAGCTTCTCGCTGCCGAACTTCCTCCGCCTGGAGCTCGGGCTTGGAGGGGGGCCAGACCCCGACCCACGGCTGTACAGGGTCTCGAGGCCCTGGGCCCTGCGCCGGTGACCGCGCCCCCACCTTAGTGGAGACCTGCGAGATGTTGCCGAGCCCCACGCTGCCGCTGCTGCTGCTGCCGCCGCTGCTACTTGGGACCCTCCCGCCGGCGGCCGCAGCTCGAGGTGAGTCCTGGCGCCCAGCCCGCGCCCTGGTCTCTGCAGCGCCTCCCCTTTCCCGCCAGCCCTGAACCCTGCCACAGTGCCCGCCTGGCACGCGCCGCTCCACCCTGCCTGCCCCACCTTACCAGGCCCCCTCACCCTCCTGGTAACCTCAGCTTACCCCTGGGGTTCCGTAGGCTCACCCTGGTGGTATCCCTAGCTCACCTGAAGGGTCCAAGTCTCACTTGGCTTGCTGGCCAGGTGGGCTCTTACGACCGCACCCCCCACACACACACCACATTTCCACACATACCTGCAGTAGAGGGCAGCTAGTCACCATGTGGATTCTTGGGGAGTGGGCTGTTTGTGGCCACATCCCACACAATTGGGTCTAAGAAACCTGTAGAGACCCCCCACAGTTGTCAGGCCATCTTACGGGAGACATTGGTGACATTTTTGCCATCTGGGACTCTTCCTGACCTAGCCTCCCAGTCAGCCCTGCCTTGGGCCTGGTGGCCCCCAGCAAGCAGTACAAGATGGGAGCAGTGAGGAGGTTGAGGGAGGCTGCAGAACAGCAGGGTGGACCTTGAGGCAGACACCTGCGGACCACAGATTTCAGGGTCACACACTGCCCGTGTAGCTCAGGCCCACAGTGGCCTGGGCATAGCCTCATCCATCTGATGTCCAAGTGGGCAGTCTCACCCAGGACCTGCCCCTGCAAGGGGCATCTGTGGCTGATGGTTGTTGCGTGTCTGCAGACTCCTGCCCGCCATATTCAGGATCAGGAGGGCCGTGTTGGCCTCCCCTATGGTTAGGTGGGACTGTAGCCAGGCCAGCCCTTTGGGTGTGTTGACCACTCAGGATCGTCCTTGCTCTGTCCACCAGTCCTCTGAGGCCTCGCACCCCTCCCCCGCCACCCAGTGAGCGCACCGAGCCCAACCTGGCCTTATATGGCCACATTCGGGCGCGGGCGTTGACCCAGGTGGGCCTTATGCCACCGTACAACCCCCCCCGCCCTCCGCCTGCTGGGGACTGGCTGGCTGGAGGGTGGGGGCTGCCCAGGAGGGGCAGGGCTGGGCACTGCCCAGGGCACCACGGGTACTCGGGCCATGCCGGGTGAGCCCCACCAGGGCCAGTGGCCCAGGCTTGGATTCCTCTTTTATCTGCTTGGACTCCCCTATCTTTGCACCTGCCTGTTCTCTGACCACTCAGCCGGAGAGGCTCTGGAGGCCTCTGTCCTGCCATGGGTACTGGCCAGACTTTAAGGCTGACTGGTGGATGGTGGTGGGTAGACAGGGCTTGCCCCTTTGCTGAGGGACTCTGAGGGGCCACCCTGGCTACCCTTGTCCCCCTTGGCCATGGCCTTGGGGCTGCCCCTCACCTCTGGCCCTGACAGCATAGGGAGCCAGGAGGGGCTGCTTTCCAAGGCAAGGGCCTCTGTGGTTTGGGGTAGAGATGGGGAGGACCGTGTTTCCTGAGTGGTGCTCACTTCCCCTTCAGGCCCAGCCTGGACTGCGGGGGTGAAGTCCTCTGTGTGTTCCACTCCTCAGGAGCAGGTCCAGCATGGACCTTCAGTGGAACCGTGGAGCTGGACGTGGTGTGAGGCCGTTTTGAAAGCTGTTTCCCTGGGGTGGCACAGTTTCTGGACTGGGTACATCTCCAGATCCAGATTCTGCTTTAAAAGTTCCCCTTTGCCCCGAGTTTCACAATCTTGGTGGGTTTGTCTTAGACTGCTTTTTCATATTTGAAAAAAGATAGGATTTGGCTTTTTCCATTCCATTTTATTCCTTGCAGTGGGGACTCCAAGGTTTGGAGTGAAACACCTTCCACACACAGCTATGAAAGAAGTCCAGTTGGGCCTTCTGAGAAGTGCTGCTTTGCCTTTGCAAGGACACCCTGGGGGACAGACACTGAGTAGCTGGTCCCTGGGGTCACTCCCTGCCCTGTGGATCTAGCTGCCATGCTCGGGGCAAGCTGGTCCTAACCCATGTCAGAGTTAGGAACTCAAGTGGCCATGGTGCTGTGGCCACCCAGGCTGCAGGGCTGGTGTGTTATGGACAGTGGACATTGAGGCAGATGGGTGATGGCCAGTGTGGTGTGCAATGCTGACCTCTGCCTCTGGCCTGGCTGCAGGAAGCC